TATACCTGTTTCCTGTGAATATCTAATATACCCATCCTCTGGTCCTCTTTTTTATCAAGTCAAAGTAAGTTGGAATTTATTCTTTAAACTGCCTTATGTCAGTACTGACACATGTATAGTTCCGCATACATTAGTATGACCTGTACGTTGAAAGACAAAAGAAAAGGATGTCCATGGTTCTGAATTCATTAGAGTTATCGTAGCTGAGAAATAATGGTCAGCTTTGTAGTGCTTAAACATGCTTTAAAAAGAGCATTCTGGTACTTCTGGTGACTCTCATCCCACACCCATACATGAGGGAGAAAGATAGGAAGAACCTGAGTTTTGGCATTAAGAGTTTTGACATTTATGCAAAACAGAATGCTTGATTTACTTAAAGTTGATTTTTATTAGGCACATAGACTTTGGTAGTATCAGTAATAGGGTTTTGCACAGAGAGGATTCACTATATGAGCAAAATGATTTTTGTTTTGTTATATGACCAGTTTGATGAAATATTGGTGTCCTTCCCTGATGATAAAGCCATTCCCCACCTTCTGTGCCACTAAATACATAGAGGGGAGTGGAATTTCACCCACTGGCTTTACTGTCATGGAGCTGTTCATGTGATTGGGAATCCTGCACAACTGTGTGTACACGCATACAGCACCTTTCACGTTGGTGCCCTCTTGTCCATGTGTGCACTGAATGCAGTGCTCCTGTCTCTTCTAGAATAATGTGGAAGGAAGTCCAGAATTTTTTTGTAAGATCAGTTGACCAAAAATAATATGAAAATCCCCCTTCTCTCTGTTCTCAGACTTGTTGCTAGTCACAAAGTCGTGTCCGACCCATCGCGACCCCACGGACAACATTCCTCCAGGCCTTCCTGTCCTCCACCATCCCCCGGAGTCCGCTCAAGCTTACTGTCACTGGGTAAAAGAGCAGGCAGGAATAGGTCAGCATCTTCTACAGTTGAAGTCAGAAGCAGCAAGTTTGATACCCCTTTTGAGCAAATGTGGGGCTTTTTTCATGTGTCTCTTTTTCCTGTTTCTGTTAGCGATTAAGGAGCTGCTTACTAGCTGCTTCTAATAAGTAGGCAGCTTATTAAAGCCAGCGTGGTCTAGCCAAGAGAGAGCCAGTGTGGTTTAGCAGTCAAGAGCACGGGTCTGGGGCTCAGGCAATCCAGGGTCTAGTCCCTGCTCGGCCGTGGAGCCAGCTGAGTGACTTTGGGCCAGTTACAGACTCTTCAGCCCAACCTCCCTTGCAGGGTTGTTGCTGTGGGGATAAGATGGCGAGCAAGAGGAGAAGAATGATAGAAGCCACCTTGAGTTCCTTGAAAGGAAAAAGTGGAGCTGTACATCTAATACATAAATCCGCTGAACTGAACTGTTTGCTTCCCCTGGAGCCCATCAAGTCCATTGTGCGATTAGAAAGTTCCTCGTCCATAGGGCAGGAGAGGAACTCCACTTCGTTTCTGGGTGTCTTCTAGAGATCTCTTCCCTTTCTCTAGCCAAGGGCTTGGCATCCAATACTATTAAATAACAAGTTGCTGTCCTTGATAATCCTGGGGGTAGATTGTTTCGAAAGCTGTTTAGAATAGAAGGAACATTAACCATCAACGTTCTATACTATTCTCCTCACATTAAACATTGCATTACATTCTTTTCTATCAACAGGTTCCCCATTTGGGAACTTAGTTCTGAAATCTCTCGGATTGTGTTCTGAACCCTGTCAACCTTCAGCAGAGAGCTTTCCATTGGAATCAAGATTTCTTTGCTAAACTCTCCCTGATTTCAGTTCCCCCCTCAAAGAAATGTTGGCAAAACTTAAGATTAGTCGAGATAATCATGCATTGGTCAGAGAAGTCTAGCATGTCTATATCCTCAAGCCGTATTTCCAGTGTCTGAAAGTAATTATGTCTACAGTAGAAGGGGTCATCAAGTGCCTTTTCCTTTGCTCTTAAGTCAGGGGGTTGTTCTCCCTTCCCTGAGAATTATTGCCCCATTTAATCCAGGAAGCCGCCATTGGTCTCATAATCGCAATGGGGCTGGAATAGTCAGAAGAAATGAAATGCATATAGTTTTTGTTCTTGGAACCTTTCCAGTGCTTAGTGTGGGAAAAGAATTGAAATGATTAAACAGCTCGTCTTTGACTGGGGAGCGGTTGTATGCAAATAATAGCTCTGGGCCCAGTTCCTCCAGAACCCAGGCACAGCTTACTACGCAGCTCATGTTTGTGCCTATTAAAAATCGTTGCCGGGTAGTCTGACACCTCACATGTGGAGTTCCAGGAGGGTGACAGCAGCTGTTGAGCAGCCAGGTCTAAATTGGAACTGTTGATGCAACGCTGCTTGCTAAGTAACAGTGCTGTGTAGCTGCATTTGCGCCAAGAGGGAACTGTAGATGGAGCCAGGCTTCTCGTTTGTTCCCGGCGTCACTCGCTCCCTGTTGACCACACTGTTGATCACACTAGCCCCATTTAGACAACAAATAGCCCAGCTATCAAGCCAGTCCAGCAGTTGGGAGTGCTGCACAGACTCATGGGCCTTTCTCCATTTCCTTTCTTTTCCTGGTTTCACATTCCATCTGAACCAGCCATAGGGACTGTTGACCTTAGGGCTGCCCCAAACCGGAGACTAAAATCAGAATTAGAAGCTACTTCAACCTCTGGCTGGAGAGCAAATTAACATTGGTGATAACTATGGTATTATTTATTTTAGCAAGGAGAAGAAGGGAAAGAAGTAGGCAAGCTTGTGCATTATTCCTGTTTACTGGACCAATTTGGTGCTTGAGAAACAATGACTTCTGAACTGGGCCATAAGTTACAGGAAATAGCCCAAAGTTGCTTATTTATTCCGGTTTTATTTTTTTCAAGTGCATTAATTGCTAGTAATTTGTTAGGCTGTAGTTTTGAAAGATTGTTATTCTATTAAGAATTATTATATGCTGCCCCATAACCTAATGTTCTTTTTTCCCAAAACTTGTTCCACATTTCTTAAATGTTAAGAGACTGAAAGCCGATACAATTGGGTAGGGGGAATAAAATATTTTCTTTGCATGATATTTGAAACATCTAATGATACCTTAATGTACAAACAACTTGGAGAAAAGCAAGTATACTTTCCATTTCAATTTTCAGAATATACAATTGGTTTGTCCTAAAATGTCTAGGAGGTTTATTTCTGTAGGTATGGAAAGGGCAGGTGTGTACTTTTCATCTTGTTCATAGTACAAGGTGCAGAGATTGTGCAAGGTCAGTCAACTTGGCTGCAAAATCGCTTCTGTGCATGGTCACAGAACTTTTGCAAACAGGCTGCCTGGCCTACTTACTCTGTGTCCCTAAGACTGTGTGTTACTCCGGTGTTTGGCTGTTTCTTCATCAACATATCCCAGTAGTTCTGAAGGAAATTACAGTTAACTAATTCCTGTGACCAAAGTGTTGCTGACTTGGAAAGCTTCCTGTGTTTGGCATAAATTCAGAGTGTTTGCCTGGCAAAAGAACCTTCCTTCTGCTCAAGTCACTTTCGGAAAGCTTTTTTCTCACAGTGCTGAGCTGTGGTTGTGTGAAGACTATCTTTGCATTTCACTGGCCATAGCATGGATTGCCTTGACTGGAATTGCAATCAAAGCTGCTGGCTTCAGAAATGAAGTAAATACTTCCCAAGAAACACCTATAGATTCTGCATTTGGGAAGTAGGTTATTCTGTTGATCATTCATTTTATTCATCATTGAGTCATTCATTCATTGATCATTAATTTTCTACCCTGTTTTTGCGTCATGTTGGTGGCAGATAGAGCAAAACTGTTTTGTAAACATGACACTATCTGAATAACATCTTCCTAGTATATTAAAAAGAGTTCTGGATATTATTTCACTTTAATAAATCAAAACTTGAATGACATGGGTTTTCCTTTCCTCTCCTCCTTTTTGCCCAGTGCAGAACCTTAAGCATTTATCATTATCATGCCCTGACCCGTTTGGAACAAGCTCAGCACTCGAGGCTCACTGTGGAAAGGCCCAACTGAGTTTCTTTGGGTAAAAAATGACGCCTCAGCTCTTCACAGATTCCTACAAAGTGCCAGGAAAGCTGCAGTGTCTGGCATACAGCATCACGGAAGAGTATTTGAAGCTTTAAAAAAAAAAACTTGCATTATCTACCAAATCAAATTTACTGTGATGGGAATGGCCTTTCTCACTCCCAGAAATACTTTGCATACCTGGAACCCAGGCAAATACTATGGAATGTTGCTATATGTGTTAAAAGCAGGTGCCTAAAATTTTACTGGGGCAAACCCTGTAAAAGCAGATGCCTAAAAATATGTTGGGGCAAACGTCAGGAGCTGGAGCATCATCTAGCCGCAGCTGAATTTTTCTTTTCCTGTTGAATTAACATGAATGTTTTGAATCAGTGTGTTTAAAGAGCACTGCACTGTGCCCCCATTTGAAAATGCTTTCTGTTGCTCTAGTGGTGGGTTTTTCTTATACTGCTGCCGAATTTTAATTAGCACACTGATTAGATCCATTTGGAACAGCAGTTATCATAGCAAATCATCTGTAACCTATACCGCCCATAGCAGTTAGATATGTTCCAATGATGTGTGGGTTAAGACATGCTCAACCTATTTTTAAAATGATTCTTCTTGAAATACATTTTAATATATCACCGGCTGGGAGCAGGTGTATTTCTTGATAAGTAGTTCCATAGAATATTGCCTGTGTATTCCTCTGTGTGTCCCTGTAAGTAAACAAGCTAGGGAGCAATTTATTTTAAAAACTGAAATGTCAAGGTGGGGGCCTACAATATCTGAGGGGAGGTTTCCTATATGTTCCCCCCATATGTTGCTCTATTGATTATTACTGGTGTTTAGCATGGTGTAAGCAGTTGGAATAGAAACCCTGGCATGCATGTAGCATAAATACAATTCTAACAATGTAACATTTAGTTGTGTACCTGAATGTCCTTCCTGAAGGCATCTTTTCTCTGTGAAATCTTAAAAATAGCCATCTTCCTGGGTAATAGAGTTCAAACTTTGGGGCATTCTCACACAACAGCTTTCTTCATATTTCTTTTGGTTGCTTCCTATATCTTGCCATTTCGTAATCTTAAATAGTATGTAAGTTTGGTAATTGCTTCAATTTTTATGTGGTATACAATTTACTGCTCCATGTTTGGTTTTAACACCTATTCATTTTATACTAAAATTTATATAAATTTCAATTTGAAAAATTCTTCTCCATTTTAAAAGTATCTTGCTACATGGATGTATGCTACCCCCCGCAAAAAAATTCCCATTTGGTGGGCAAAACTAGTCATGTGATTCTTTATGTCCCACTCCAAATATTTCAAATTGGCTTGCTAAAAACCCAGAGCTGAAACAAGTTCCCATTACTCAGATGCAGCATTAGATTTGTGATTCATAGATTCATGACAGTGTTTTGGGTGATTCTCTGGGTGTGTACACAAAGAGATTTGCCTAATTCCAGGCACTTAGTTGAACCAATTCCAAGAAAGGGAATTCGGAATTCAAACAGAGCCACATCCCCTTCCCTCTTTACAGTGGCACAAGATGAAACTGTCCAACTTGTCTGTATTGACAGCTTACCACTTCGTTTATTTAAACAAAACAATGTGTATTTGATTGGTGTTATTCAATCATCTAAAATTTTTTACTAGTTCTGTATTATGTGTGAATGACTCCCTCAAGCCTTCTGGGGGAAGACTTGCTGCAGGTATTGTGAATTCTTCCTAGTATTTTGGCATAGCACAGTTAAATATAGCACTTTAAAATAACACTGTACTTACGAGCAGGATTTAGCTTTTTTAAGATAGTGTTTCGGGAAACTTGGCAAAGGGCACGTGTTGTGTGCCTTAATACTTCTAAAAAGTTCTCCACAAAAGGAAGTGTATGGTTTGTGCGACTCTCGATAAGGGGTATCTAACACTAGCAGTCACATTAAAAACACACTCCAGTTCTGATACCAGTATGGACTTTTCCCTAAAGCAGCATTTGCAATACTCAGAGGAACAGGCTGAACCAAGCAAGGGCTCTTCTTCTCTCTCTCTTCAACACTGTTATAGCATTGTATTTTCAACTTTTTGCAGTATGATTTGAAACAGTGACCATGGATTTTTCACGTCTTCACACGTATACCCCTCCCCACTATGTGCCAGAGAACACTGGCTATACCTATGCACTCAGGTGAGAATTTTTTATTTGTAGAGAAACTGCATATTATAAAACTTTGTTTCCATGTTGTGGGTTTTGTGATAAGTTTTAAAAGAAATCAAGAAACCCTCAGGTTGGTACGAAATCTCACTCTGTTTCCTATGTCATGATAAATGTGGGAGTTTGAATTTATTTTTTATGTTTGAAATGCATTTTTAACGACGGGTCTTAAGCCAAGACACCCAGTGACTCAGGGTTTGTCAGTCACTAAATAAAGAGCATCAGAACCACACCCAGATTCCGTAGTTTTTTGTTTTATACATGCAGAGTGCGGTAAACATGTTTGTGAGCCGCCCCGAGGCTTCGGCGAATGGGGCAGCATAGAAATTTTCTAAATAAATAAATAAAAATAAACATAATAGAGCTCCATAATTTTATTGAATGAAGAATGCTTGTCAGTTTTGTTAAACAAGTGCAAAGGAATAGCATTGTAGTTACTAACAAATGTACATTTATTGTCCACTTTATCAACTTTTTATTTAATGTGGACTTGGATCATTAGGATGTAAGGATCGTTTTGGCAATCTTTAAGTCTCTGAGTTTTGGTAAATATGGTGCAGAATGCTGCAGGAAAGTCATGCCTCTGTTGTATGGCCAGTGTGGCCATTTTACATGTGCTGTTGTAGTCAGTCCCTCTTTTTTTTTCTTGTGCAAACGTGTTCTCCATGTAGGAAAAATGCCCCATTTCAAGGAGCACTATGTTAGTTAAAGGCCCATTTGTATTAAGTAACACCCTATAGATTACTGTAATTTTCTGTCTCTGCCACATGTTCCAAATATTGCCTTTAAGGGTTTAGGATTGTCCAGGGTTGATACAGTTATTGCCCGACGTGCCTTTCTTCAAGATCCAGCCTAGGCTGAAATCATGGGATATTCTTCAGTGGTCGCTTCTTCTTGGGATCAGATCCCCTTTTGTAATTTAGGAATATTTGTGACCTACTCATATTGGATGGGCAAGTCAGTGAGCTAAGGATTACAAAGTACTACCCATGAATTGTTAATAATAACGAAAAGCTTCACAGTTGTAATCAAACACATTCACAGTGTATGCATGGTCTGAAAGCTAAAGCAGTCACTTTAATCACGTATTCTTTGGCTTCTCACTTCAGAGCACTCTGGAGGTCTGTGTCTCTAAGACAGAGTGTAATAGATGGAAATGCCTTGTCTAGTTAGCTAGTGTGAGCTTTCTCTGTGCAGCGCAGTCACCACTTAGCGCTGATTCCCACAGTGCTTCTGTGCATTCATATCCATGCACATGTGCAAAGAGATATGTATCATATTGGATATAAATAGTTTTTGTTCCATTCAGATATGTATTGTCAGAAGCCAGTGCCTTTATCAGTTCTCATGATACACTTATTTATTTATTTATTTATTTATTTCTGTGCCACCCCGTAACCCAGGGGTTCTCTGAGCAGCATCCCAGAATTTTTTAAAAATGGCACATCCATTCTAGTCTTGTAGTACACATGTAATGCTCACTTGGCTTCAGCCTGCTGGTGTTTAGCTCCACAACAGTGATACAGCTCGGAATAACACTTGGGAGGACAGCAGTGTTGTCATAGGCCTGCCAGACTGCCCCAAGCCAGATGGCATGAGGGAAAAGACAAAGAGGCCACCCTAAATGTTTCGACAGTCAGTAGGTCATCCCAGATTGAGATTTTCATGGGAAGTATGGGGAACTTGTAAGATGCCTTTTCCGTAACTCTTCTCTATTACCCCTCATCTAACCTCAAGGAAGCTTCCCTTCCCCCATCAGTGAAGTGATTAGAGAGCCCTATGGGCTATGGGGAGGAATATAAATGTCATAAATAAGTGTTGGGAAGTGTCATCACAGGCTTGAATAGTTGCTCCTCTGGTCAGCTGTGGCTGCTAAGAACGGCCTCCTGGTGCCCAGGCTAGAAGCTAACCAAGCAGTGGCTCGTTCGTTCAGTCAGTCAGTCGGTCTGTCTGTGTGTCTGTCTTTCTCTCTCTCGCAGTGTGCCACCAGTACATAAGAATATGTGTGGGGGTGGGTAAAGCTGGTAACTGCAGTGGAGCTTTTTCTACAGAATATGGGTCAAAAGTGTGTAATAATTCAAAGCATCTTCTCTTCCATAGATGCTCCCAGGAGGCTGCAGGCCAAGTGCCAAGCTGCGTTTATCAGCAACCCTGGCATGTTATGCCCTTGGGTGGATAGGCGTGTTTGCCAAGTGAACACAGATTGGGCCTAGCGGCAGCTGCCCTTCATGCCTGGTACTTCAATAGCGTGTCTGTACTGCCTCATTGGCACACGCAAAATGCAGGCAGCTGTACGGCGACACATGTGAACTGTGCCTAGCTGCATAAGAGAAACCTTGTTTGTGAGGAAGTGTTCAACTAAGCTGTGACACTCCAGCTCTCCAAAGGCCTAAGAATGAGCACACGTGTGCTAAACCACAAGGGGTGGCCATGTGTGTAAGCCCAGACGTGTAGTCAGAGGGGACAGGTAATTGCATGTAGGCGAAATGCATGAAGGGCCGTGTAGCTGAGTGAGAGGAATGGCAGAGGGAGGTCTGAGCAAACCACCCCTCTTCGGCGCCTAGCAAAGAAACCGAGTGTCCTGCCGGAAGAGGAGATGCTCCACCATGCCCTGTATAGAAATCTCCTCCACCAGCTCCCATCAGGCTAATACGTTTTGGGGGAGACCTGATGTAGGGTACCTGTCAAGCAACCCCGATCTAGTTGATCTATGGCGCAGTGCGGTTGGGCCTGCCATCTGTGGCCTAGTTACCACCCAGATCACAAGCCTGTGGTATGGCTGTACCGCTTCATATGGGAGGGCTCATAGGATTAAAGGTGCCTCCATATGCATAAAATTCTTGCGCTCATTGCAAGACAAGGGCTTTCCTGCCTTGCCTTCTGCCCGATGTGCATGGGATGTTTTTGCAAAGAGGAGCGTTCAGTCGTGTCAGCCCTCACCTGCTCTTTGAAGTTGTACAGGTGTTTTACCTCCTTGGTATTGCCCTGGGTGTGGGAAAAAATACGTTTAGACAGGGGCTGCTCCCCACTAACTCAAATGGACTTGGGAAGACCCCAGATTATTCCCATACAAACTGGAGACAATTCTCCTTTTTAATGTTTAATTGATTAATAAATAATTGGATCTACTCCAACCTCCTCTGCCCGTGTTATGACATGATGTCACACTGATGGAAGAGAGGATTACCTTGTGGGTTGCTCATGTACCATGTTTAGAATTGTAGAATTCATAGGAGAAATGCACTGTTTTTCGTTTTCTTTAAACAGAAGCATAAGATGATATTGGTGTATTCAAACCTGGACGTTGACTTCTACCAAGTTAGAACACTGGTCCAGCTACATCAGTAATGCCTAAACTCTAACTGGCAATGACTCTGGGAAGTCTTTCATAATCCCGCCTAGAGATGCGAGAGATTGAATCTGGCACCATTTGCATGTGCGGCATGTGCAATGTCGCAGAGATACAGCCCTTTCCTGAAGAAGAATGACCCTAATCTTCTTTTAAGACTGAAACTGCCAGCATTCCCACCTTTAAAATGGGAGCTGGGCATGTCCCCATTAAAGCATTTTTAGCAATGAGAGAAACTGGGACCAGAATTCTGTCCTGTTTTCTTCACCTTGAAAGCTGTTACTGTTTGGTCTGGAGTAAATGTAAAGTGTGTGCGCCATCTTACTGACAATTGGCTTGATGGGACCATCTAAACATTCTCCCATGGAAGAGGCTCCCTCTTTTTAAAGTTACTTCCAGATTTTAAGTTCTGAATCCTTCACTGCATTTTTTCCCTATTTAGTTTTCCATGAAAGAAAGTGTATTTCATGGGGGTTTAATTTTTCTGAGTCGCTTGAAATACAAGCATAGAAATGTTCTAATAAATAAATAAACATGCATAGGATTGGCATCTCAATGGCCCCGCCATGTCATAATTTCCCCTTGGTTGCAATATGCAATTTTGATCTGCATGAATATGTCGTCCTGGCAGTGCCTGCTCCCTGCTGGGGCAGCCAGTGACAGGAGCAAGGAGGTATATGATGGGATGGTGTGGCATAAAAGTGAAACCGCGTGGTGAAGGGAGCGAGGGAAAGGGACATCAAGGGGGTGGGGGAGAGAGAACAGTTTCTGGCAGCCACCCGTATCAGCTGTTGATGTCGTTTTGGCTGCATCACCAATATATCACCCATGTTACCAATATAGTATCAATATACTATAAACTGGATTGTAGGTTGCAGCATATAAATTCGGTAAATAAATAAACCTGGACCAATTTATAAACCTCTGTAAAGAGCATGTTCTGCATATATCAGTCCTGCCTATAGAAATGTATGGATTAATGTATTTAATAACATACAGTGGCCTATTTTGCAAGCAACCACAATACACAGTATGGGCTGTCATTGAATTGTGGGTTGTTAAATCAAGGATCGTTATACACGAACAGTGGTTTAACAACTCAGGAAGGGAAGCTATAGTTTGTTGTTGGGTTGTGACCTCTGGATTGTTCATGGTTAACAATTCATGGTCAAAACATGATGTAGGGTTTGCACATAACCATCCATGACTCAGCAACAACCCGTGTTTCATGACAAGCCGTACTCTGGATTTTCATTACATTCCAATGACCAGATAAGAACTATGTAGACTTTTTTTCAATGCAGATGTAACAATTATATTCCAAAGCAAGTAGAACTTTCCCAGTTGGGCCTCTGATCCATACTGGTCCATTGAGGAGAAAATGCAACACTTAAAAAAGAAGTTCTCGGCTTCTGAACTAATGTTCCTAAAGCACTGGAATAGTTATCTAGCCTTTTGAGGCCGCAGAGGAAACAGAAGGAAAAACAGTAGCGATAAATAAAGCAGCATCATGCCCAATCACAGAGAATGATAAAAATGGATTCTTTCATCCTATCCCCAAAATGCTTCCATGAATAAATATGTTTCCCACTTTCTTTCACGCATTAACGCAACGAGAGCACTGAGTGTGGCGGACTTTGGGGAAGTTCCTTCCATAGTCTCAGGGCTACTGCAGAAGAGGCTCTGCTATGCCTGCCTCTGTCCTGTTCCTTCAGCTTGACGGGAGTCTGAGCAGGGCTAAGTTGTGAGCCACGCAGTGGCCTTATTCATGGGGTGGGGGGCACTGCACAAGACGGGCCGGGCCCAAGCCCAGAAGGGCCACAGAGGGTCAGAACCAGCACCTTTGCATTTGACTTGGCAACCAAACAGCCACTCCTTCAGCTACTGCGATACCCATTTTTCTGCCCCTCCGCTCCTGTAGAGCCATTTTATGCCGCACATATAATCCCCCCGCTGGTCCTTTTGTTACAGTTCGAGTTACTCGTCAACAGCTCTAGAATTTGAGCGCAAACACAAACTGGACCCTGTGTTCGACTCCCCAAGGATGTCGCGGCGCAGCCTGCATCTGTCTGCTGCAGCGTGCAGCACACCCGAGGACGCCCACAGCGAGAGCGTCTTCGGCAGTGGCAGCTCCCGCACCGGGAAGAAGGGCTTTGCAGAACAGGCATCCAAGTAAGCATTCCTTTTCATGGCTTCTTCACGTCAGTGACCTTCACGTGTCATTCAGCAGAGTGCATGTTCTTGTTCCGATTTTGTTTCTGTGGCACCGAAAAGCACAATGGCTGCTACTTTTCCTAAAAGTAACATTCCGGTAATAAATAGAAGGAAGGTGTGCTTGGATCTTAGGCGGGTAGGAAGGGGAACTCCTCCGTTCACCGGTAGATCTAAAGGTGGCGCTTGAGTTTTGCAAATACTTCTCTTGTGCTCCACCCTCATGTAATGGTGGATACTTGAGATTCTTAAAAATTGTATCCATCAGTGCTCTTAAGCCTCTTGTATTTTCAAATGGGTTACCCCCCCCCCTTCAGCACATGCCTTTGTGGTTTGAATTCAAGGCCAGCAGGCTGAGCCGTCGTTTCGGATGTGCACCTCCCCCCCATGGAGGAAAAAGAACTCGTTTGTGTATGCAGCACTACTTCAGCAAGCCCACTGAAGGATGGGGCTCCTCGAGCGTAACCGTTGTATAAAACAGTGGATTTAGTAGCGCAGCTTTGCTTACCTGTGCACAGCAAACCTTTCCCTTCAGTACAGCTGTTGTGAATTAGGAAGCCCGTCGGCCTTTGCATATGGGAGCTCCGTACCGCATTAATCCAAGCTGTTCCATGCTCTGCGACTCCCTTAAAAATCCAAGAGCCGGTAGGTCTTGGAAACAGGCGTGCACAGGCCACATGGCACTGGGCCTCATGCTCAGGCCTGCTAACAGCAGTCCCTGGAGAGGGCTTCTCTGAACACCAGGTGACTGGTTGATTTCTGGACCGCTGGGATATATTGACAGCTCTGTCTTCAATGCTGCAAGCCTGCCACTGTTTCTCTTTCTCTTTCAGAATGACAAAGCAGCGCAAAAGCGTGATGAAGCCGCCTGGCTCTGTCAGACGTACGCCAAGAAAAATCGCTCCCAGCTCTTCCATGTTTAGCCACAGTAGTTTCAGCAGCCACGCGAGCGATGGGTCCTTCATGTCCACCATATTGGATGAGTCTTCCATTCAGGAACAGACAGCTGTGGACCATTTCTGGGGTAAGTCGCAATCTGCAACGAAACACACGTCCTTTGGCGTGTTCACACACACCAGGATGGGCTGCATGAGGCCCAGTAAAAGAGAGCAGGCAAGGAAGAGCGGCCCGTCTGGACTACAACTAACGTTGGTCAGGTGGTACAGCCAGAATTCAGTTGCCCAGGCATCTAGTTCTTCATGCTCAAAAAAGATTCGGGTTTTTGCTTTCTAAACTGCAGCTCTTATTTTGAAAAGGGCGGAGTTTCCAAGTTTCTTCTCTTGTCTGTGAGGAGAGATGGGGAGTTCATAGTTTGGGGATTTATTTTCAAAGTCTTACTTTGGAAGAAAGCATTCTTAAAATGGTACATTTCCAATGACAGTGTGAGTTTGCACGTATCTGTCCTGCAACTTAGGTGACTTAATCTTGAAACGGCAACATATATAAGAGTTGGAACATAAATTCTATGAGAGCTGCAGAAGGTTTGCTGATGTTGCCTTTAAAGAAAAAAAAGAAGAAGCCATGTGCCTGAGAAATTAGAGAAGGGGGTAGTAGAGGGACAGAAGACTTGTAAAGCAGCTTACATTCTAGTTTCCTATGAAGGAGGAACGCGGGGGATTGCTAGACTAGTAGAACAAGCTCATTACTTTCCAAGCAGAGTAAGGTGCTAACTTTGTCACACTAAATTGACATCAAAGACAGATTTGAGACAAAGCCTATCTTGGGAACATTGCCTCTTGGTATTTGGAAAGTGCAAACGTCTTAAGAGCCTTGTGGGGGGGTATAGAATCCCGGGAGACAGATGAAGAGTGAATTGTGTACAGCTTTTTCCTTCCTGATAACCCTTCTGACTTGCGGTCTGACCCCGTTCAGGCCAAATTTCCACTTATTCTGGTGTCAGGAATAAAGGACTGGATGCCAAAAAGCAGCACTGCTCTCAGAGAAGATTTTGACCCTGTGTGAGCAGAGAAAGGTGCTAATTTAGTTCTAGGCGGTGTGCTACTTAACTTAGCCTAGTTGTAGGCCTCCCTTTGCTCAGGTTGAAGAAGCCTGTATTAACTTCTAGCCCTGTATTTTAAGTGTCGGTTTTGGCAATAACAGCCTTGTTTTACTATTGTGTGTGTGAAGCTACCGTTAGAGCAACGAAGTGGTAACCAAGCAACAGAAACATCACGTGCTTCTCCAGCCTCCCAAATTGTCACATGGGAAATAAGAGACAGGTTTTTTGTTGCTTTACATTTCTGCCTGGAAATGTAACCTTGTTTGGTAGATAACACAGATGGCTGCTTTTAATAAAAAAATACTTAATGCCTTGTATGTAGTAAAGTTTTCCACTATGCTTTTTGTTGGATTCTAGAAATAGCCAGTGGATTCATGTTGGTGTAGCTGTTAATTATGACCTCCAACTACACACCTTCTTGAATTCAATCCACCCATCTCTTTATTTTCAGGACTCGATGATGATGGTGACCTCAAAGGTAACAGACCGCATTTTTATTCTTGATTGCCTCGCTCCCCAATTTGTTCGCTTTCGTTTGCTAGGTCGTTTATTGCAATTCCACAGGTGGGGATACCACAGTGATTCAGGCTAATGGCAGCATTGTGGTAGGCGAGAACCAGACCGCGCTGAGCAATGGGTACACGTGCAGTGACTGCAGCATGCTTTCGGAGCGGAAGGAAGTCCTCACGGCATACTCAGCCCCTCGCCTGCCCTCCTCTAGGGTTTACTCCAGGGATCGCAGCCAAAAGCACAAATCAAGTAAGTAACGTTCCATCCAGCCTTGCTGGCCTCCAGAAACGGTGCGTGACTGAAGCCTATCTGCAGAGCTGAAGGCTTGCTGTGTTTAAACCACTCAACAAGATTATTTATGTTGCTCCTATGAGAACGTTTGCTTGCGCCCCAGAACAGTTTGGCCTGGTACATGCAACCTGACAGCCCACCAAGGGCAACCAGGCACGGTGGGTTCCCATCTGAACCCACTGAGGTTGCTGTTGGATGGCTTAATTTTCCTGAAAAAGCACCTTGAGACCCCAGGGCTTGTCTTAGGGTTGCTTATAGCCATGGTATCTTATGGCACGGAGCAGTCCTGGCAGAGTGATTCTATCCTGGGTTGGCGGGAACAGCTTGGGAGCCAGTTGCCCGGAGTGGCAAAAGCCCCTGGTTCTCCTAGCGGTCCCACTCGCTCCTTCTTTCTCGGTTGACAGCTGCCTTTACATTTCTGCTGTTTCCCCCGCTGTGGTAGTCCTTGGCCATGACGTTTATCCTCTGTAATCCACATCAAGGCACAGCAGCTAACAACAGAGGGAAGCAAAACTGGCTTGAGAGAAGGCACTTTGCTAATGGGTTTGGGAGTGGGTATGCTTACTTCAGAGCAACAAGAAGCAGCTTCTTTAAAATGAGTGAACGAACGAACGAATGTGTGTTTTCTAGCTAGCAATGCAAGTGCTCAAGTAGATGAAGGGAATACAGGAAAGGTGGACTTGCACAGCAGCAAAGGTTACTTTTTTCTGTTTTGTTTTGTTTTGTTTTTGTTTCTTAAAGCTGGCGAACGCGTTCCTGCATCCCTAAGGACTCGTGAATGTAATTCCATATGATGTGGTGGTGTGTGTATGTGCAAGGGGTGGGGAGTCCTTTAGCAGCCAGCAGCCCCAGTGGGCCAGCTGCAGAAAGGGTGCGATGCAGGGAGAGAGGCAACCAAGGAGCTCTGTCACAAAGGATCCTGGGATACCTGACACAGCCAGTGGGGAGACTGAGGGAAAGAGCAGACTGCGGGGGACCCAGTTGTTTGCCGGAAGTGCCCTGGGTTGTGCAGTGAGCAGCCAAGCCACAGTGGCTAATTCACAGGCCGGCTTGGCATGATGGGCGAGTCCGCCCATTGCGCAGTTAACTTGTCAACAGGAGATGAAAAAAAACCTCATTTTGCTTTATATGCCCTTCCACAGCTGGCCTGCTTTTTCCTTTTATTTCAAGTAAGGTTCATGTATAATGTGTGGCATTTACACTGGCTTAGGAACCTGGTCCTGTGCGCTGTAGAGTTTGGGACTGAACGAAACACTCCAGTGGTGTTTTAGGTATGACCATCTCTGGCTCAAAGGAAGCTACTTGCGTGCTGTTAATCCCCCTTAGAAGAGTGTGGCATTCTTTCGAGCAGAGTATTGAGAGACCAAAGCAGCAGCTCAGAAGCACCTGCCCAGAAGAAAGGTTGTTCTTCTGAGCCTGGTGTGTTTTCTTGATGGCCAGGTTCATTGCCAGTACTGATGGGCCTGGCCAGCACTCATCGCGGTGGCTCTCTGTCACCGGGAAGGCCCGTCCGTGGAGCTAGCCTTCTGTGCATCAGCCATGTGTGTAGGGATCCAAGGCTACTTCAGGGCCACAAAAGTACAGCATAAGGAATACATGCAGTCGCCACCATGCAGTGTATCTTGTGCACAGCATGGCTTTATTTTTTAAATGTGGGCAAACGAAAGAGGACAACATGTTCACTGCCCACTTCCAAGTGCACATTCTCCGGAGCATCTTTTCCAGCGGCTGCACTTGCGTTACCTCTTCTAGCCCCATCCATCCCTTCACTGCGGCTTCTTCAGTTGGCAGCAGCCTCCATGAGGACAAATTTAACGGGTCACCGTGCTGTAGGAGTATTTGCCCCTACCTGGGGCTCTGCATTCTCCTTCCCTGAATGTGCCCCAGAGAGCTCAGAATACCCTTGTTGAGACTACAGTGGAAGAAGCAGCTGAGAGCAGCCATTCCTTCCATGGGCGAAGAAGAAGGGAATCTTTGGGGAAACCCTTTTGTGCGCATTTATTAGAGCCTTTGAATGCCAGCTTGGTGAAGCACAGAAATGGATACTCCTTCCAGAAAAACAAGAATTCTGGAAATACTGTGTCATTCACTGTTTCCCGCATCTGCTACATAAGGATATAATAGTTCAGTCACTTGGTAGGACCATGAAGATATTTCTCACTTAGTGTCCTTGTACTTGTGAAAGAAGAACTAGCTTCTTGTCAGAGGGGTGGCCACTCATATTCCGCATGTTAATTTCACACTCCTAGGAAAAGAGTCTGCATCTCACACCTTGCAGGATTAGCTATGCATTGCATTGTGTTAGTCGACAGAATGGGGGAAATAACATGATATCAATGCTCTTTTAATAGGGGGCCTCTCTTTCTACACAAATAAGATTCAGCGAGCGGCCAAGTATACCGCAACTTCATTCACATCCCTCATAGTGCAGCTATTTCAGATGATCTTGCTGAAGCTGGGCTATGATTGTAAAGGTACTTTTTTTAAGCTTATCTTCCCTGCTATCCATCATTGCCACACACTTTTTAAAAAAGCGTGTGCCTTTTTCTGTGTGTCCCTTTTCGGCTATTTCATACTGCAACTTTATGGCGTCTTCCATAGTAATCTGGTTTCTTTCTTGCATTCACTTGCCCACCTTCTATCTCTTCTGTTGGAAGCATCATTTTGCAGGTACGACGCACTGGTGTGGGTTTCTCCCTGTTTTTCCTCCTTTGAGATGACGGGTGGTGTGATTTTTGATGAAGGCTTAATTTTGATTATGGAACTAGATTTAACTTGCATCGCAGATAAAATTAAATTTTCTCACCTACTATAGCTTTGGTTTTCCCTCTTCTTTCTCTGGTGTTTATACTATGCACTTAGGTTGTATTTGCTTGCTTTGGTCAACTTCTTGTAACAGCTATAAAAGTGTAACTAACCATTGCTGATAATTTGCTAGCTACTTGCATTTTTAAGAGATAACCATTATGCGTTTTTTGCATAAATGCCTAAAACTGTACTGTGCAGGTGTAACCACCTTGTGTTTTCAACTGCGTGTAACATGAATGTGTACCTAAGGGAATGAGACGACCTGAAGCTCTGGCAGCAATCACACCGTTGCATCAGATCATTTAATTCTTGCAAGATTATGCCTGGATCCAAAGAGCCACACATCTAATGCCCAGGAGAGTTTTTGGAATGGTGTTTCTGAAGCAGCAGTCCCATGCCGCATGGCAGACATGTTTTGAAATTGAGGAGTATTGTAAGGAAAATTATGATTTGACTTGATGGTCAGCACATTTCAGCAAAGAGGGTCTGGCCCTTGGAAAGATCTTTGGATTGCAACATTGGCCTGTAATTGCCTTGATGACCTTTTTTTACCAAGGTGTATTCAGTTTCTCTGTCACTATTTACCTATCGAAAATAGAAGTGTATTCAAGTGTTCTATTTTCTCGTTCACTCCCCATTTTACTCTGGTATCCTTTGGTCTCCGTCACTAAAATAGATTTGTTGAATAGTCAGTAATATACAGTCTGGTCTTCTTTCAAAGACATCTAACAGAATAGCAAGCATAAAACATCCAAGAGTCTTAGAAATTCAAGCCACCAGAATCCTCCACCACACAAAAAAATATTTGAAAGGTACACGAATTCCTCCCGCCTACCATTTAAACACGCTTCTGGCTTAGCTTCTTAGTGTTAGTTTCTTGGTTTTCTAACAAAACAGAATAATTTATTTGCTGTTCTCTATGTGCAGCTGGGGGTACTGTCTGTATGAAGACAATCCGGGAAACTTTCAATGTGCTCAGCTAGTGATGTTTGGGGCTTGTGATTTTTCTCTCCATACACGCTTGCTGAAATGCTCTTCTGTCCCTTTCCCTGGGCATCGGGTGGGGCAGCCTGCTGCCATAAATAAGCGCCTTCCAATTCCACGTTGGATTTGTCTCTGAAAGTTACTATTAGAAAAGAATTAAGTAAGTGGTATACTATTGTGTGTACTGCTCCCACCAACATATGAAAATCCCCACACTGTTGTTTTTCCATTTTTCCTCTATTACAGGTCACTCTAATTACTGTGGGAGCATGAATGTAAAAGAATATCTCAGGGAAGATGGCCACCTGGGCATTAACGGGGAATCACTGTGTAAGTATAGCTGGGCATTTAAAAAAAAAAAACAACCCTTGGGTTAGAATTCTGGATGGTACAATAATATTCCGTAATTGGAGGCTGGAAAAGCCAGCCTTGCTGGCAGCGATGCATTGTCCAGCACTCGCAAGAAGCTTCAGCTCCAGCCCATTCTGTGTGCTTTTGCATAATGCACTGCTCATTTTATAAAGGCAACTGTCTTATGCTGCTTAGTTTTGTGATTCTCTCAGACATGGTGTTGAATCCCTTTCAGCCCAAGAAAGAGATTCCTTGTGGAGGAGTGGGAAGGGCTCCATTTCAGAGGCGGCTGGTCCAAAATTAAAAGAGGAGGGCCCCCAAATGCCAGCACATCCATGCTTAAAGCCCTTGCTTCCAATAATTAAGCCTTAGGCGATGCATTTCAGCTGTTTAGAATGTGGAAGGGGTTGCATATAACCCAGGAAACCTTTGAAGGATCAGACAATCTTTCTTTGCCCCCTCCCCCCAGTAATTGTGGGGTGCTGGATTTGTCCAGTAAGTCTGAGGTATGCCCCCCCCCAAATGAGGACAGCCAGCTTGCAGCAAGGGCACTTCCAAGTGGGATGGACTGCAGAGGTTTGTGGCATGGCGATGCAGATGTAGGGGGACCCATCGGAACTGCCACCCACCTCTCCTCCAGGCACCGCTGCCCATTCCCTCTGTGGACGAGGCCCAAACATGCTGAGATACTGGGGAGGGCAGCTGAGTATCTGTGGTAGCATGCACGCCTGTCATACTTTCTCCACACGAGATTTGTGGCCTATCCACCAAGAGCTGAAGCATATGTGGACAATAACTCGCTGTGATGTATCTGCTGCACTTCTGTCTTGTTTGCAGATATTTCTGCTGGATGTGTTTTATTAATTGATTGTTACCACAACCCAACAGGTGATGACTGTAAGGGGAAGAAACACCTTGAAACATACACAGCAGCCCACATGCAATCCTCAAGGTCTAAAAGGGTAGCAAGGACCATGTGGCACATCTTTTCTTACGCAGGTTGACTTGCACCTTTTTTGTTTCTTACGTTTTGATTTCTTTTGCTTCATCGTCATGGCAGTCTGTCCGTAGAAATTCTCGCTTCTCCTTTTAGTGCTTCTGTGCAAAGCAGGTTAGTCTGACTCAATCGGAAAGGCCCCTTAAGAACAGTGATTCCGTTAGCCAATGCCTGTCACACCCTAGCGTGGTTTTAGGTTGAACCCTATTGTGGCAAAAGCTTGTTGCGGATAATTCCTGTTCTTCATATGTTGCGGAACTGTTAGGAAAGCAGAAGATAGTAGCTTATTTCAGCCATGTCTAAAATTAGACTAATGTAATTAGAAAATAAGACTCTTCAGGAATAATGTTTCTGGCAGTACAGTATTCTGCCTTCTGGCAAAAAATAGGTCTTTGTCAGCTTTATGTTTCAGATAAACAATGGTTATTACAACCTTGCATTTAACAACTCACCCCATAACAATAGATGATCAGGAATGGGGGTAAATGAGCAGGATGATGGAAGAGAAATTAATCTTTCCATCCCTGCACTTCTGGTCTCTGCTGCAGAGGGAAGGAAGTTCCTTCTTTCACAACCATGCCAGACACTGCGGAGGCTGGCAGAGGAGAGATCGCACTCTCTTGCTTCTCTGCTGATTAGTTTGAGCAAAGGTGATTATTTAGCCGCCTGCATCATAGTAATAGTCCACAGAAGAGGGAACTCTGCTTGGAAACGGAGGCTCCTGGCCTTCTAGCAGGCTAATAAGAGTTTTTGCAAGTTGGCCACTTTTCGGGGCTTATTTGCAAAGCTGCATCGCTATTTGTAGCAACAAGCTTTCTGAAGGAGACAGGTCTTCTTCCATCTCAGTAAAGAATCCAGCCCCGTGAATGTAAGCAGGTAGAGAGAATCTGTTGCCTTGTTGCGTTCCTTAAGTGGTTTAAAAATTTCTTTGGTAATACAACAAGCAGAGTGTCACTTTGGACTGGGCCTCAGCCTCTTAGAAGCAGGCTGCTATATTTTTCTAACATTTTTTGTTGACAAAAACTAGATAGAAGTTGTAACAGAGTGATTATTACTTTGTTACACTGTTTAGGGGGATATTCTTTCAATGAAATGACACTCTCTTGCTTAAAATCAGTAATATTTTTTTAAGAATCATGTTAGTAAATCAATGGAAAATGGCGTCTGGCAGGGGTATCAGATGGAACGATTGCGTGTTGCATTGGCTTGCATTTTTCTCTGCTAGGATGCTAATGCATTGTTTTGTTCACGGTTTCCCAGACAGAGTGTGGAAAATAAGTGTTGGTTTCCATTTGCTGTGTTCATACTCATCTGTGTTGCACTAGGTTACTTCTTGCTGCATTTGTTGCAAAGACTGGGAGCAACAGGAAGGTTTGTGTCCAGGAAGGTTGTGTCTCTCCTTTGGCTGGCTGTTATGTCTCCAGGTTGTTATTATTATTACTTGCGTGTGTGTGTTTATGCTTTCTGCATGAGAATTCTGCCTTTGGGACCATACTGACATCCTATATTAGAGAGGATCTGCTGATTAATCTGAACACGTGGTCCTGAGGGCTGCTTCAAACACCACACCTTCCATACACGGGAGAAGCATCCCATTTGGCTCAAAGGGGCTGGCTTGCATCACCAGCACAGCTGGTCAGGAATGGCCCATGCTGGGGGACAGCAGTTTCTTCGGACCAAAAGGCAAAACGTGACAGACAGAACCTTGTACCAAGAGAGCCAGGGGATCAAGGGCAAGCAACCATCTTGGATTTCCTCATACATACGTCCCAGTGCTTTAAAAAATAAGAGATTTAGCTACTTGTTTCAACTTTCTCCCTGTCCCCAGAGCAGTGTCAGTGCCCTGCCTATTTCTTCTATTGAGTTAATTTCCATTGTTCTGCCTAGTCCTGCTTTCCTAGATCCTGAGTGCCCAGCATGAAAATTGGGTGCCCACATGCATCTGAACATAGGAAGTGTGTTTTGTTTCAAGCAGCCTTTTGGTACTTCTGCCATTAATCAATGCTAAAATCGGTGGTGTACTGGTGTTCATAAATTTAATAAGTCAGCATACTTGACAGAACAAGTCATTCTCCAGTATTGTGGGGGATAATTGGCTAGTGGCAAACACAGATGACTCTTCTAGAGATTAGGAGATCTTACTTGATGTAATTCCATGGGAGCTTGGACATCTTCATCTTACTCCTCTAAGGTTTCCATCGACGGAATAATATTGTGAATGCGACTTTAATGTGCAAGATTCACTATTAGATTTAACTTTCTGCATTACTAAACTCCTAGCTTGCATGACTTGTGTTTGTGTGTGCCATTCCAGGTCACTAATATAGAATGTAATGTGAAGGGGCTATGAAATTATATTTTTTAAGCTGCATGTGTGCAGTCACGTGCCAATATCCATTCACTCCAAAAATCAGTTGTTCGCAATACTTTTTTCCCCTGAAACATATGTCGGTGCTTCTGCTGTTGTCTTAAGCCACTTGTCTTCAAACCGTATTCCAGGGGAGTTTGGAATTCCTTGCCAAAAAGATCAGAAATTGAGAAGACACCTTCCCATGAGACTTTTCTCCACCATCACAAAAACCTTCTGGCAGCGTGTGGCTTCAGGAGGGTGCAGGCTGTGCCTTTTCGCCCCCCTCAATTCCCAGAGGATGGTCCTGCAGCTCGGCAGGCGTGGACATGCATGCCAGAATGGAATATTCCCCGGAATATGTCCCAGAATTCTCCGCAATGCGCAGGAGGATGTTGAATATTGATCAGTCTCCCCGCCGACTGTAACGTTTGAGGGTGGCTTTCCATGACTCTGTTGCGTTCCCGGCTCATCCGGCATGTCTTTTCTCGTCCAGGGAAGGCAGCTGCAGGAGTGTTCTGGTGGCTTGGGACTGGATGGTATCAACTTGTGACCCTGATTTCTTTGCTGAATGTATTCCTTCTGACAAGGTGCGCAAGCATTTCATAGCGAATTTGACCTCACGTATTTCAAACATACTCGTAAGAGAGGATGCAGTCTTTCAGATCCCCTGGCCATAATCATTGAGGGCTCTATAGATAAAACAAGCGCCTTGAATTGGTCTGGGAAGCCAACAGAAACAGTGCAGTGGTGTGCGCTATCGTATGAAGCCTGCATTTTTCTGTGAATGAAATGTCGGGCAACCCCCAACAGAGCACAGTACCAGTAATCAAGGCATTAGCGTGGTTGGCAGATTTAGTAAATAAAGTAAAATTGAGAAGGTATACTTTTGTGTGATGTGTAAACGCCACTTAGATGTTCTGTTAGCCCCAAGTATTTGAGCATAAATACCTGGTGAAGAAAAGGGCCATTAGAGAGAGCATAATGGGGTGAAAGTGCTCTGTTTAGGCACATTGAAAGCTTTACTTGGAACTTAGTTACTGGCAAACTTGTGAATACTTTAAGGCATGGTGACACCACAGCATGGGCTTCCTTGCATTAGTAAGGTTTTCGTGCTGGATGTAACTATGGGCATAAAATGGAGAGGAAGGGGAGAGGGAAGAATCATGGATTTTATGCTGCCTCAAACTACACGAAAGAAAAGCAGAATTTAAATGAAATAAGCAGACATGGTCAGGCAGCCAGTTGCGATGACAGATGTCGGCAGTGACGGTCCTACGTTCTTTTCCAGATGCCTTCCAAAGATGTTCAGGTTGCTGTTGTTTCTCCTCCCGCTGCTGCTGTTGCTAGGTGAGTGGACACGTATGAGCCTGAAGGCTTGCTAGCATAGATTATCCGTCCATAGCACTTGGTGTATTCTGCCTGGATGGGGTGTGAATGCAGTTCATTTAGTTACACCTCCATTGGTGGCTTTGGGCCAGTCACAGACTCTCAGCCCAACCTACCCCACAGGGTTGTTGTTGTGGGGATAAGGTGGAGGAGGAGAATGATGTAAGCTGCCTTGAGTCCTCTGAGGAAAAAGGCAGGATATAAATCGAAAAATAAATAAAAATAAATACATAAATAAAAACTTTGCATGATTGATGATGGGTTCGAACTGCATAAAAATGACCCTTAAATGAGCAGCAGATAAATTTCTGAAGGGCAGCAGAGTGCTACTTCACAAATTTCAGAAGTATGGCAACTACTCACAGGTTTCCTTGGCACTTCAAGCACGAAAACGTTTCTTGTCTCATAGATGTCTATGGACTAGACGAGAGGCCACTATCAATTGATTGATTCAGGTAGTAGGCACAGGGGGAGAGGTGGGTACGCAGAGGTAGTGTTGAAAAGGTTTTTAAAAAGAGGCATAAGAGATGGCAGTAATTCCACACAAGGCCCCATTCAGCCCAAGATCTAGCCGGAGTTCGTGGGATTAAAGAGCGTGCCCACCTAAGAGCAGCCCATGGTGAGCCAGCAGCACTCAAGGCATCGTGTGCAGACTTACAGAGAAGAGTGGGAAATTGTTAACATTAGAAAGTTGGCTGAGTTTCTTTCGTAGTGGAAGTGATAGAAACTGCTATTTCTGGAAGGGAACAGATGCTCGAGTGCGTTGACAGAAATTTGCTTTTATGCCCACTCAGACAACTGATCCATCTGACACAGTACAGTCAGTACTGACTGGCAGCAACTCACCAGACTGGGGTCATTCTCTAAAGATGCCAGGTGTGAACCTGGAGTCACCTGTGTACAAACCATGTGATTACCCCTGCCGTCTCCCTGTTCATCTGGGTCTCAGCAATTTTGTGTTTTCATTCTGAAAGGATGCACTTTGTGGTAGTGAAGGTAGTTTCCTTGGATGATCTTAACCATTTAAAGGCATGAAATCTTCTTCTTAGCACCTTGTTTCTTATTTTCAATCTTACTGCTTCAGGTTTGTGGCACTGGAGTCGTGAAGGTTTCCTTTCACTGTTGCCAGTTTTGAACTGGACAAGTTTACACAGAACACACAGGTGGGAAGATTCTGCAAAGGACCTTGAGCCACGGCCTGATTCATTCTCTGCTGATCGGTATTCAGAAGTAAGCTATTTTATAGATGCCTTAAGTCTATTCTTTCACAGAGACACGAAGGCCAAGGGACTAGGACAGATGGCAACAATCCGTCTCTGCTCCTAGAAGCTTACACTGTCTTCAGCATTTGCACTCCACAGAAGCTAGTGTGATTAATTTAATTTAATTTAATTTATCGCATACGCTGCTAGGGTCTGCCCTCTCAAATTCTGTTCTAATGTTAATAATTCTTTAGGAAATGCGCGTTAGCTTATATAAATTCACACAAACACACAGAGTGGACATTTTTAATAGGAAGTTGAGTTGAAAAAAGATGAAAACTGTCAGGTTTTAATATGAAAGGAAAACATATTTGAAGATGGCTTGTGGCACTGATATTACTTGGAATACATTTCAGAAATCCGGATTAAGTGTTTGTACCTTTTGTAGGCATGTTCTCTATTGTTTGTTTTCTCAGTCCCTATGTCATTTTCCTTCCCCCTTTGCCCTGCTTGTAATAAGGATTCACTGCAGCTGCTATGATTTTAATCTACTCTTCAAGCCTGTTTTACAGTTTCAGCATTTATTGGTTTTTTTATTTGAATTATACTTTGTTGTGGTTGTGCTGTTATTATTGTGAACCACCCTGGATGATTTCATGGGAATGGTGGGGGTAGAAATACATTAATGCCCTTTTACAAAAATTCCAGGACTCTGTGAAGTTCTTTGGCACAAGTCGTATGGATGATCTGGAAAAGCAAGTGGCCTTCATGTCAGAGAGGTGGCATCACCGAGATGAAGAATTCTCTAAAATGCTATTCCTGCTGCACAACCTTCAAGACAAAGTTACCCAGATGAGTGACAGAAGCGAAATGTTGGTACTCATAAAAAACGTTGTAGGCCAGCATCTTAAAGAGATGAAAGCTGAGGAAGCTGCACACCCTGCGGTAATTTGCTTGGAGCTGAGCTTTCTTTAAAAGGTTCTTAGTGTAACGGTTATGGATGTTTCATTAAAATACTCAATACTGCTTGGTCGTAGGAGGATGCTTAGGAAAGAATTGACATGTGAAATTGGAATGTGTGTGGGTCGACTATACGCATTTTCAGCTTGTTCTGGAAGATTATAATCTAGCAGATCATATTGTTGTAATTCCCCTTAGAAGCATTCCATTCTCATTCTACTAGACCCAAAATCGATTTAAACGGAAGCTATTAACACTAGGGGCATGTTTACCTACAAAGGCAACAAGCGGTACTTCCAGGCTGAATTCTTCTAATAGGCTAGACTTTGAGCCTCTGCATTGTTAGGTGAGGATGCAAAGAACAGAACATTTCTGTATGTCAAACGGGGTTTGGAAGTAGGCCTTTTGACAACAGCCCCCCATCACCCACCAGCCTGCTGTGCTGTCGCAAGGAGCTGCAGCCCACTTTCTGATACCACACAGGGAAGGGAGGGGGGATATGTCTGCTGTTAAAAATAAGGGTTCCAGGTTAAAAGGGCAGTGCAGAAGCCCCTGACCATGCCTGAAGGAGCTCCTCAAGTCTCAGCCAATATCTGTAAATTTGCCAGATTTGAAAGAGAGAGGTTCTGTTCGCAGAACAGAAGGCACCTTTGGGGAGTGGATTTTGAAATGATAACCTTGTACTGTTTTCCCATATTAATGGTAGTATTAAATAGCTCATCTAATGATTTTTCCCAAATCCGGCGTTACTGTGGACAGATTATTTCAGGTTGCATGTTTAAAATCTGTGCAGTATTTCTAGATGGGCAAAAATCTCAAGAGATTCTTGAACTAAATAAGCAATGCCTTTAAAGAATGGTACTTTTGTCTTTAAAGCATGAATATTTGGCCGGGCATCAGGAACATGAATGGCGCATTGTGGCGTTAGAAGATCTCCTTGCAAAACTTTCTAAAAATTCTGAGGTAATGGTAGACTTGTTTTTAATCTCTTAAGTAGCAAAAGGCTAAGCACTCTCGATTACAAGTAAGGCCCAGTAAGGTCCATGCGGCACTTCCAAGCAAACATGCTTAGGAGAGAAGTGTAGGAGAAAAAAGATGTTGCCCATCTCTTGCATTTCCGAGTCACGTGTTGCAGAATATCCCAAGCCCCTTTTGGGCTCCTCAGTGAGAAAATCAGTCATGGTGGACAAGTTTTTTGGAAAGTCAACTTTCTTCCCATCTCCTGTCTTCCCCTGTAACGTCCACCCATAAGGAGTGATTTATTTATTTATGGATTTATATCCTGCCTTTTTCCTACAAAGGGCTCGAGGCAGCTTACATCTCCTCCTCCATCTTATCCCCACAACAACCACCCTGTGAGGTCGGTTGGGCTGAGAGGCTGTGACTGGCCCAAAGTCACCCAGTTGGCCCCATGGCTGAGCGGGGACTCGAACCCAGATCGTCTGAGTCCCAGTCCCGTGCTCTTAACCACTACACCACACTGCCTCTCCTTTTGCTGTGTTGTAGTGAATTTGAATCATGTGCCATGATCAAGGTCCAAACAGCCTCTGGCCCATGTTCTGAGGACCTGGAATTCTGAGCAATGTGCAGGTGTTCCTTGGCAGCAGCTTCCAAGTTCCTCAGAAGACAATTTTATGTGGAAAGCGTCATTTAAAACCCACAAGACCGATGGGCACAGAGAAAGAAAGTGATAGGATAACAATCATAGTGTTGGGCTTGCTTGCTTGCTTGCTTGTTTGTTTAAAACTTTTGTATACCGCCCACTACCAAATGGTCTTGGGATGGCCTTACAATAAAGCAAAGTGAATATGGAAAAGTTAGTCCTTGCATGGCTGCATACCTGAGTTGGTTGCCTTGAGCATATTTCAGCCTCCCAGTCCAACCTAACTTCACTAGGATAAAATGCTTGTCTGAGCCACTTAAAAGTATATAGAAATGTGCTAAGTGTATAGATTTGATGAAAATATCAGAATTCTTACACATGGAAGGTAGGACTCTTTTTATACAGCACTAAGAAAATTTTAAAAAAATACGGTACACAGCTTTAAATCAGTATTAGATTAAACAATCCTTGAAAGCCCCACAAATTTATTATTCATTAATTAATTGGATTTCTAACCAGCCACATCTGCCGTACAGCTCCCTAGATGGGATACAACAAAATACAGAATAGAAGAAAATGCAAATAAAGAAATGTGCTGGGATTAACCCGAAAGAAGGATTTGATGAATCATAGTATCTGGCGGATGAGCTTCGGACAAAAAGAGGGAAGGATTTTTCACTCGTAAGGAGGCCCTAGTGAAAATAAGATTAGAAGCCTCAAGTATCCATCATGCAATGACAAATCTCTATGTGTCAAGTAGGGTATTGGTTGTCCTCTGAAGGAAAGGCTGGGCATTTCCTTCTCGTCGTTTATCCCCTTCCCCCATAGCCATATGTCGAGTTAATTGATGAGAGTTGGGTTGCAATAACAACCACCTTACAGTAATTCAAGAGGGATTTTTCCAAGTCACACGCAATGCCCAGTGGGAATCCTGCACTGCCCTCCCCTCAGTTGCCCATAAGGACGTCTGGGAGACAGTCAGGAGTATGTGCATATATAAATATCTTGTATAGCGTATTATATCTGCCCTCCGCCCGTCCCCCCACCTTTGTATTTTGTTTGTTTGCAAGTAGCTGTTGGGAAACCCTTTCTTTGCGGTTCCTCTTTTACAGTTCTAATTAGGTGAGGTGCAAGACAGGAATTAACGTGTGTTAAAAGTAATTTCATAATTTTTTTTCAGGGCTTCCAAAGGGAACTTGAGCTAACCAAAGCAAAAATAGTGAGGTATGGCTACCATAGTGTTTTGAATTGTGAACGCTGCCACTAAGTGATCGATTGTAGTTTTTCTTCTTGAAAAAAACACCTCTGAATTAAAAAAGATGGTATTATATGGAGTGCCTGTTTATAGCATTGAGCAGTAGTCATTGGTATGGTACTTCTGAATCATGCAGTAAAATTCTAGAAATTGCTACAAAATGCTAGAAGATTTTTCTACTACTCCACAGTTCAGAATGTGACTCAGAATGTATTCATTTACATTCATTTACAGTTGAAATCATTCACTCAGAAAACAGATTCTAAAGGGCTTATCCAAATTTGTGATCACAGGTTTATACGAAAATCACATAGCAAGGGAAACCTGACATCTAACCTGTTCCACACATCTCCCTCAAAGCAGTAGTATTTAGATTTTAAGTTCTTTCCTGCCATTATATAATACTGAATTCAATAATACCATGAAATTCACTCCATTGGATCTATACAAACTTCTAAAGAACCTTCTTGTTAATTTGAATTATACTTTGCTGTGATTGTGATGGTGACCTTGGGTGGCATGAACGGTTTCCCCAAACTAGTGAGACGGAAAGAGTGAGGAATCCCATGCATCCTTCTCCATCTCACGCTTAGCGAGCGTGTCTCAACACAGCAGGTTCCCTTGCATGGAGAAAGCACGTCCCTCTCTTTGGAGACGTGCCCCCATTCCGTCCCTGCAGAAGATACCCAGAAATGGTGACAGAAGCAGTACAAGTGACCCTCCTTTTTACAGGGAATGCCCAAAGCCAGTCCAGTTCAGTAGTGGCTCAGACAGACGCCTCTCTAGGATGCGATTACAGCTCTGTATTAGTCATCATTAGATAATCATTTATAATATCAAGGTCTGCCTTGCTTAAATGCTCTCCTGACTGTGAATTGATGTAAATAGCCCTGATGTTTATTCTCCCACCCCCTCTTTTTACTGTGTGTGTGTGTGTGTGTGTGTCAGCGACACTGACGAACAAACCAAACACCTCATATCCAAGATTAAGCAGCTAGAACTTGAGTTGGCTCACATGAAATCAGAGCTGCTAAATTCACAGGGTGTGAGAACCTGCTGTGACGACATGGGTTCCCTTCATGAAAAGGTAAGTTCAGAAGAGCCCTCTAATGTCATTTTAATAACTTGTATTTGTGCCCTCAGTTCTGCAAGAACATTTTGCGTCCAAGGTACAAGTTCTGGAGTGAATCTCAGGCCTGTGCACCAGAAGTGCGTGATTGCATTCAGGCAGCTAGAAGAGTATGACATTCTGAAAAGATTAATGTAATTCACTATAAAAAAATTAAGCATTACTTGAATATGCAACCTCGTGCTACATAATTAAAAACTAATCCTTATTTCATGATGAATAATCTTTGGAATATAATGTATCATAAATAGAAAACTAACTTTAGATACATCTTTCCTCAAAAGGCATTTTATTTTAAAACATCTAATTCAAATAAAAAAATCTGATTTAAATTAAGAAATCCAATTTAAATTTTAAAAACCGGATTAAAAAAAAATCATTGGCTTTTATCCATCCTGGATTTTTCACTTATTTTCATAGAGCAGCTGCTTACAAACTAGTCTAGAAGAAAATGATTGTTGCCTGACTTAAATATTTAAATGGGATAAGGTTGTAAACAGCAAGAATAAAGACTAAGGGCACAATCCTATTCATGTTTAAACAAATGTGTTCTACTGTTCCCAAAATTCCCAGGCAGTCATGCCCACTGGAGAATACAAAGAGTTGTCAGGCTTTTTGCTCTCTTAGCATGCATTAGACTGCACCCAGACTGTCTTTTAAACCACTTCTCTTTTATTTTGAAGTGGATGTGAGGCCAATTTACCCTGTGGTCTTTTTCTAGGTAGATGCTCAGGTTAAAGAATCGATCAGGTTTCTGCTTTTTGGTAACCAACAAGGAGACTTGCCAGAACCACTGCTTCAGTGGCTAATGTCCAAATTTGTGAGCAAGAGCGACTTCCATGTTCTGTTGCGAGATTTGGAATTGCGCATCCTCAGGAACATAACTCTCCAAATGTCTGTCACAAATACGAAGTCTGTCTCAGAGGTGGTAACAAGTGTTGTGAACGAGGCTGGGATTGCAGGCATCTCAGAAGCGGTAAGCTAGACAGCAAAGTGTTGTGCCTTGTGAATACACTTTTGCAGCACAATTATTACCATATCTGCTGTAAATCTTTAACACTGAAATGTATCAAAGTGCATTTGCAGGTCTGACACTGACCTTTTAGCCCCTTAAAGGCTTGGGCCCTTGCGGCCTTTAAAACCGTGCTTAGGATATATGGGTGCAGCGTAAAGCCATTCTTGCGTGGCAAACGTTATCCCCTTGTCGCGGTGCGATGTTCGTGAACCTGTCCAAATACTGAAATAGCATGTTAACACTCCCTTCCGATTTATTACACATTTTCAGCAAGCACGCCTTATCGTCAATAATGCACTGAAGCTTTATTCTCAAGACAAGACCGGCATGGTAGACTTTGCTTTGGAATCTGGAGGTAAGTAATGGTGAATGGGGCTGCTTGGTTAGCCTGTTCAATAATAAATACAAAATATAAACATTCCGATCTGGTTTTGAAGGTATTTTGCCATATTGTCAGACATCAAGCTAGCATCTGTCAGGGAGGGACTTAGCTGTGGTGATCCCCAATTCTGGGACTTTCTCCCTGGCCTGTATGTTCAAGTGCCTAAAAGAATAACAGATGAATAGCAGCACTAAACAGGCATCTTTCCCACACTCATTTAAACACTGCCCGCATGGTGTTCCGCACAGACGCGCTCTCTCTTTCCCACAGTTACGGGAGTCTGGACATTAAAATACCTAAGAAATCTAGATTGTTAAGCTGCCATTTAAAACCAGCATGTCAGCGCCATTCCTGATCTTAGTTAAGCAGCTACTTTTGTTAGCAGGAGCCACGGTTAAGATCAGGACAGAAGTTTCCCTTTGCTGTTAAGATGGTGGCGATGAAGAATTCATTGTCAGGAACTGTGGGAGAAGGGAGTGCACCCTGATTGCTTAACCCCAGTCAAGAGGGAGCCAACCTCACCTGCACCAGCCCTTAGCCTGTTCCAGCTGGGAAGGGGAAGGTGGGTCTCTCCATGACAGAGAATTGAGTTGGTAGCCAAGAGCCGGGAATGACATTGTCCAGCCAAACTTTTAGCATCTTTTTTCTAACGGCACATGCAGACATAATGTGCACTGTCTCATTAACAAACCTGAATAGTTTTCTGTCTGCGCATTTCTTTCGAGGTGGCAGCATTTTGAGTACTCGCTGTTCAGAAACATACGAAACCAAAACAGCACTAATTAGTCTCTTCGGGATTCCTTTGTGGTATTTCTCTCAGTCTCCTCGGGTAGTGATCCAGGTAATTAAAATGCCACTTATTTAAGAATACTTGTGGATCTATTTGTGTATTGAAAAGCATGTTTCATGCTTAGAGCTTTTGTTCAATGTGTTTCTGTGACCGTCTGAATTCTAAGTAAACTTGCTTCTGCTTCCTGCGGCAGCAGCTTGAGTTGACCACATCTTCTTTGCATCTGACAGTGGCTTCTTTCAGTGACTTAGAGTAAAAAAATAATCCTGCGCTTGTATGGCCTGCATGAACTTTGATGCCAATTGAGTTTCAATCCCCCTTTTAATTTTTCGTCACAATACAAAGTATTTCATGCTATGCTCCACTAGAGAGCATATCATTGAGCTTATTTGAGGCTGGGATGTGCACTACTTAATTAAACACCAGTCAGCTTTCTGAAATAGGGAGACACAACAAGAATGCCGCAGTCGGGAAGTCTGGTGTGTGGCACGTCCACATCGGCGCATTTTTGAAATGCAGTACTTTGCCGCAGGCAGATCTGCTCCCATAAGCGCCAAGTCCATTTTCATGGCCATGGCACTTCCAGCAAGCCCTGTGGTTCAGATTCCGTCTGCAAATATGCCAAATTTGTCCTGACAGCTAATGATGCATGACTGAGTGCAGAAACCTTGTGTGGGGATTTCTTAAAGGCTGCTTCACGACGGTTTGCTTCTTCCCTTAAGCCGGACATGTATCCTGGAAACTGCTGGGCTTTCAAAGGATCCCAGGGATATCTCGTCGTCAGGCTTTCCATGATGATCTATCCTACAGCTTTCACCCTGGAACACATACCAAAATCGCTTTCCCCAACAGGCAATATTACCAGTGCACCAAAGGATTTTACAGTATATGTAAGTCTTTCCTTTATGTATTTATATATTTATTTTATGACTCTCATTTAATAAGTGACTTAGTTTTGCTCTTTTTCAACTGCCATTCTTTCAGAATTTAAAATCATGTCTAAAAGACGTTTGACTTCAACATATTCGTTTATGTAACCCATCCCAAATACACCTACTTCAGAACTCTTCCCATGGGAAACATATTTGAAGGTTTAGGTCCATATTTAGGCATGTGGAGGCTGACTGGCCGAAGCAGACCTCCCTGCCCCTCCTCCCCACAGCAACCCCTTCAGTTCTCCAAAAAGGCCATCCAGAGGATCAAGGGACCCTGTTGAAGGAGGTAAACTGTGGCATGGAGGAGAGGGAGGAGAGAGCCCCCAGACTAGACAGAGGCACCTTCCCTGAGCAGAGCCCTTTGATTCAGAGAAGGCAGATACCACATCCATCCCCAGGATAGGTACCAGCAGCTGTAAGCGCAAACTTGTAAACGTCCTCAGTTTTCAGTATATCCAAGAAGATAACACGGGGTTCCAGTAAGACAGAAAAATGAAAAAATAGAGCACTGCACATTTCACTTTTTGCACGCTGGCCAGAAATGACAAGTCAACATAGAACTTATTCGTAAACTGCTGCTCTTGTACTTAGAACACATTTCATAAATTTTCATAATTCATAAATTCATAAATTGACTTCAGATCCCAGCACGTAATAGAGATTTCTTCTCAAATGAGTCCCACGTGTTGGAGTGCTTGTTTCCCCCCTTCCATAATCTTTATTCTCTGCATCATGGCGTAGCGCACCTGTTTTTTCTTTACAGACACGGACCACCTGGACTTAAAGTGGATTCCTACAGTTGTCTTCTGTGGCAGGAATTCAGAGCAATAATACACATTTCTGTTGACAGGGTCTTGAAAATGAGTATCAGGAAGAAGGTGAACTTCTGGGGCAATATACATATGATCAAGATGGAGAGTCACTACAGATGTTTCAAGTAATGGTATGTCAAAATTTCTAGAAGATACCATTGTAAAATATTTTGCTTCTCTTCATTTTATTCCCATTGTCACCCTTGTAAAGGACTGCAGCTTTCAGTGTTTATACCATGGGGCTGAGGCATGCTAGTATATTAGGTTCTGATTATTTAAATTAATTTACTTTACAGTACTTGAATGCCACTCCAAATCTAGGCAGTTTCTGAAGCCATGAAATGTAAAAACATAGAACAGATCAAAGAATAAAAACGATGGCTTGTAATCTCTAGTTTAACTTCTGTAAAACAAATGGGATCATATACCTGTTAAGTAAAGTGCAACCATAGTGCTTGTTCCAGACTTGCAAATAAATTCACTAGCGCTACTAATTAACCAGTTACTGTAGCCAGTGGGCTCACACATACTCATTAGTGATTCAGAGAAGCCCAGATTCCAACTCAGAATGAGACTGTTGTATCAGGAAAAGTCCATATTTCAACCTCCCTTGTTGCAATCCTTCCCGACGCTATTATTGCTTAATTTGGTTTCGTAATAAATACTTTTATGGGAATGGAAAGCCCACAAGGTATTTGGCTATCATAGAACTTCTGCAGGGAAATTTTCAATTAGACATATGCTAACTTCTAGCTTCTTACTGATCTGTTTTAGGAGACAACTGAAAAAGCATTCCAGATAATGGAGCTAAGAATATTTTCCAACTGGGGCCATACAGAATATACTTGCCTCTATCGGTTCAGAGTACACGGGAGACCTGCTGAATGAACACTACATATACTTTTCTGCTTTTGTTGTACATTTTTTCTCTCTGTATGTGTTGTTTGTATATACATACACACATACAGACACACACACATATAAAGGAAAAGCCTAGAACACTGGAATCCTTAAAAGATGTGGATATGTAATGCACAGCAGGTGTCATATTCCTCCTTGGCTAAGTGTAGAAGACTGTCAACAGAATTGTATACCAAATCCAATGGTTATTTGCTCAGATGCTCAGCTTGTTACTGCCAGGTAGCTTGATATTTTTAATGTGTTCATTCTGAGAAAAAAAAGATATTGCATGCCAACTGCTCTCATTTGCAAAACTCAGTTAATACCTATTTTATTACTTCAGCATATAAAACTTTTAAAACTTCTTTTTGGCAGCTAGGAATCTGTTTTTAACATTGGGGCCCATCTTCACACCAGAGGGCGATTTAAAAAAATGACTGTGGATGCACAGTATATTCCACCCTGTGATTCTGCAGTTCCCTGTCATTCACATGGGGATTTGTTTGAGCTTCCATCACAGCCTTCTTGCAGCAACAGACCATGTTTTCCCAGCGGCTGGTTCATTGCCTCTACAGACAGGCATAGGGCACAGCTTCCCAACCCTTTAAAGGCTTCGTAAATGCTCAGCAGAATCTCACACCAGTGCTATATTTTGAGGAGAAAATGTGCCTGAAGCAGTCATCTCCTGGATTTAGAACATCTTGCTATAAAAGGACTTATATGATAAGAATACATTTTGCTTTAATAGTACCTATAGCAGGAAAAGAATGGCGCCAAAAGCTATTCAGACACCCAACTGGTAACAAAACTAAGAATTAAACAAAAGAAAAACCTCAAGTATCAATAATAGTTGATTTAAAAAGACAAAGGCTTAAAATTGTGACTTTTTTTATCTTCTCCGCTTGAGCAAGTTGATGGTCAGAGTAGCTAGTAGCAATTGAATGAATTAGTATGTTGCCTTGTATGTTGAGAGTAAATTTGATTAAGTGTTTCAGTGTAAGGTCAGGCAGATGTAGAAGGTGAACAAAGTGGAATGAGGTAACATTTAGAAGAAATGGCTTAGGTGGGATTGAATTAGAAGGACTCACAAGATTAGATGCTATGCAATGGGAGAGAATGAAAAAGAAACATAGAAGTGAAACCAGACTTGGATGACAACCCCAGAAATGTTTGCCTTCAGAAAAAATAACTTGCAAACCTGACTCATGCCTGGAGCTTATTCACACATTCTGTTTTGTGTTGTCTACCTTCTCAAAACCTCGTTGGGTATTGTGGGGTTGCTGCTAATCTCTGGAAAGCCAGAGGAAATTTTGCAAGATTGATTCTGTGAATAATCCTCAGAGTCATGATTTTCAAATCAGTTCTCCAGAAAACCCATCTGTTTGGTTAAAAAGTGCATGCACACAAGAACAACTTGGTTATAAACTTCAGGACTGCAGTTGAAGTTTCCCTAGAGCTCTTGTAGAAGATGGAATTTCCCATTACATGCCCCTACAGCTTAATAGCCTTTTAAAATTTAATTTGAAATTATCATTAGAAATCTGCTTAGGAAAAAGATTCCTTAATCTGATGGTGTGTAAAATTTTTACTTTATGCCCTGCCCCCCCCCTTTTCTTTTTGGTGCAGGGGAAACAACTTAGAATATTTTGTTTGTATTTTGGGAGGGAAAGACAAGATGGTGCTGACTGCTTTTCTGGACAGAGTTAATGTATGTTGCACAGGAGTCCATAAATATTTATAAAGAGTTTTATTTCCAGAGGACCATTTGTTTACCTAAGTTCAGCTAGAAATGGAAACAATGGCCTACCGAAGAGTTTATTGAAACCTGTACAGGTGTTTCATAAACTCTAGATTAAATATATAAACCAGAATTAACCTGTATAAACCCAAATTGGGGTAGCTAAGGGAGTGGGGAAATTTTGCATAACACTAACTTATTTTTAAAGAAGCAAGATAGGACTTCGTGCAATGTATTTTTGTAAATGCTTTTTCAAAATATTTGTCTCTGGTATCCTTTGCTGCCTCCAAACTGACAAGAAGCTATTGAAAATGTTTAAGAGTTTTAATTTTTTGAAAATGCATGTAATATTTGGAACTAAACAATAAAGTTTCCTTTTTTGATATTTCTGCTGAATACCTGTCATAATATCAAAGTAAAATGTTTATTCCTTAGAACAACAACCACTAATAATTTCACTGTGATTGTTACATGCAATGTGGTTTGTTTCCAAGAAAAACTAATCTCACAACGCACATTGCTTGCATGAATGTTTATGGAAAAGTAAAATAAGATACTTCTTCAAAGATTCCAGGCATTCAAATAAATAAATCCCCAATCTGGTGCCCTCCAGCTGTTTTGGGCAATAACTCCCATCACCCTGACCATTCACTGCAGTACCTGGGATTGAGGGGAGTGTATGTAATAATATTGGAAGGTGCCAGGTTGACAAAACCTGGATTAAACAAAACCCATGGAACATAGGCCTTTCAATTCCTATTGGCCATGGCCATTAAATAAAACCTACCACTTCCAGAGGTGTTAACCCTCTGAGGTGTTAACCCTCTGACATGCAGTTCTTGGGGTACGGACTAGAAGGACATCACAGCTTTTCTGGAGTCATCCACTTGACAACAGAGGGGGGAAACACATGGCCACTCAGGAATTTAAATTGAATCTAAAAAAATTAAAAATATTACTTTCTTACCTTTTATCATCATCTTGCCTTCCAGTGACCAATCAGCATTCCAAGCACAGCAAACTACTCCTGGGATGTGGAGTATTTTACTTTTATTACATTTCCGTATTTCTCATTAACTGAACTCTTAAGCGATTATAGCACTGAGCAATAGGAAGCATACTGTATGCAATACTACTTTACCTGGGGTGTTTCTTAAATGATCGTGACACTTTCATAGTCATATTCCAAACAGCAATCCCAGTTGCAAGGTTCACACTGTCTGAGGGACTACAAAATATTGTGCTCTAAGTGCTGCAAAAATTGAACTTTAAGGCAGGATGAATGGGCTGAATTCAGTGACCGGGGGGGGGGGGGGACAGAGTTGAGAGTAGATTATGCAAATTATGTCAAGACAGAAATGAAGACCTGAGCAATATTAAGCGCTTGCACTTCCACGTTTCCTGCTACTGCACCATCTTTCAAAGGAATGATGGCTGCATACCTGTTCGCTTACTCTAAGAGGCTTATCTGGACTAGGAAACTAGTACAGTGAAAAGTTGAAAAGAAACCTATTCCCATAATCCCATAGCAGTTGGAGCTCCTGCTCAGCTGCTTTGAAGATCAGTCACTAGAGAAGGAAACACTCCAATCATATATCTGGATCTGATCTAGTTTGACCCTCAGTCTAATAAATGTATTGCAAATTTGGAACAGACATCACCAAACTCACAGAACAAAAATCTTGTGGAGTCATGTACTGAACAATTCAACATCTGAAAGAATGTGTGTAAGGGAAGATTTTCAAAAGAACAAGGTAAGGATGGCTGCTGCTTTAAAGTAATTGTTTACACTGTCAGAAATGTATTGCTATCGTATTAACAGCTCACTTTTCATTTTCAGTAATCTTAGCTTTCCAGTGATACAACAAAAAGGCATTTTGGTTAGAACTGTCAGATGAAAGAACAAGAATTTCCTGGAATATTTGTGCTTGCAAGTTGAATGGTTGTTCATGGCCTTTGTCATACAATATGCATATATTTGAAAATAATATGCTTGAAGAAAGTGGCAAACAGATTCAATAAAACAGGTCTGATTTCTTTTGCAAACATGAAGCCAGTATTCACACAATCTAGCTGGAATTATGTCATACAGAGACACCCTGCTATTGTTCATAATCATACCATTAGCTTAACCATGATCTGTCATTGGGCGTGACGGTGGCACTGCTGGAATGCCAAAACATGAAGCACTGCTTTGCAGGCTTGAACTGTTCTAGGTGAGCTCTGTAATTGCTGATTTTTTTTACTTATTTTTTACTCTGCCCAAGGAGTGGTTCCTAGATAATGACAGTCTTCAGCAACCAAGATGGTGGGCTTTTCTGCACATTTAAGTTTATATGATGCTTCCACAAAGCTTAAAAAGCATTAAATATTAAAGGTTGGCCAAATGGCTAGGGCATTACTGCAGTATAAGAGGGGCATTCCTTTTCTACAGGGCTCCACTTTAAAAAATTCTGGATGGGTACTCTGTAGAGTGAGTCGGTTCTTCAAAGACGGCGCTGTCAAGCATACCACTAGGGTGATTCCAATCAGCATGTGGAAGGGGACGTGTGCAAGGTGTACGTATGGTGTGAATATGACACATGCACCTTCTCCCGCTAAGGCTGTGGGGGCATCCCAAATCCCTCCATCTGGAACCATCCCTGGGCATGACTAGGGTAATAACGGAGACAACAGAAGGGGAAGAGGGTGGTCAAAACCAGAGAAAACAGGAAGGTAACTGCTGTCACTGATGCATGGAACAGCTTCCTTAGCTAGGGTGTCCGGGTGTCCTCCTCTACAGAGAACAGCCCTCTCTTTTGGAGAATGACAATCCCTTATTTGAAGGTGCCCTCTATTTTGCAGTGGTGGCCACTGCAAATCTGGTTTATACTCAAAGAACTCGCTCTTAAGAATGAAGAACAGAGCAAAGCTAACCCTCAAGAGGCTGCCAACTAAGGCACCTGGGGAGCATTCCTCACTCTGGTGCGTTTCATTGCATTTACTATTACGCTTAGGGCCCACCTTCCCTCGTCTGGCAGGGTGGCTTACAAAGTTCCCCTCCACGTTACCCTCACAACGACCCTGCGAGGTGGGTTAGGCTGAGGGCCCAGGGGCGCCCAGTGAGCTTCATAGCTGAGAACGACGCGTCAAATGGGCCGAGTCCCAGGCAACATTCCGAACACGACCTTTATTTCAACTGCGCCTATTCGAAGTTTTCACGGACTTCCAGCCTATGCAAGCCAGTGCCCTTTTCGAAGCGGCTTTTCCCTCGACGGTGCGGAGGAGGCCGCCCCGCGATCTTGGGCGGTAACCCCATGAAGTTCGAAGGGCTTACTCCCGAGTAATCCCCCACCGCAGGCTTTCCGCGGGAGTCCCTGGCTCCTCGATCGCCCCGTCGTCAAGGAAACGCCGCCGGGATGGCGACGCCCCACTGCGGGGTCACGTGACGCCGCGCGTCACACCGGCGGCGCTCTCCCCCGCGAGCCGCCGGCCGTACATGGGCACACATGTCCCTCGCCAGCCACCGTCCTTCTTTCCATTGTTGGCTGGGCAGGGGCGACGGAAGCCGACGAGGCGGGACGTCGCACGTACGCGCATGCGCGCTGGGAGGCGGCTCCGGGAGTCTCACTCCTGGCGTTTCTCGCCGCCCCGCAGTCATGGCGGCGGAGCAAGAGGCCTTGAAGGGCGGTGGGGCGAGCAGCAACAGCGGAAGGAACCGGGGCGGCGTTCAGCGCGTCGAGGGCAAGCTCCGCGCCAGCGTGGAGAAGGGGGACTATTATGAAGCGCACCAGATGTACCGGACGCTCTTCTTCAGGTAACGGCGGCGGCCCTGCGCGCGGTCCCATCTTCCGCGCCCCCCCTCCGCCGCCCGCATCTCTGCCCCCGCCGTCCCTCCTCTTCCAGACGCTTCTAATCACGCACTAGCCCTCGGCCAGGCGCACCGGCGCCCCCTCCCTCCGCCCGCGCCCTTTCCCCCATGCTATTGGCTGAGCCTCTTGCCTTTCTGGCGCTCCCGGCGCCCGATTGGTCCAAAAAGAGGAGGGGTTCTCGCGGGGAGGCTCGGTGGGTCTCCTGCGCAGGCCAGCGTGAGGGGCTGCGGGATGGGAGAGGCGCTTGGAGCTGTGTGTTCGCGTATCTCCGTGGAGATGCATGGACCTACGCACGTACTCGCGTGTCTGTGTGCGTGTGTGTGTGCGCGCGCGCAAAGATAAAATAGATGCTTCCCTCTCTCTCTCTCTCTCTCTCTCTCTCTCTCTCAAGATGGGCAATCAAGGGTTTTTGACTTGAGGAATGGGGTGAGGACAAGGGAAAGGAGTGAACAGTGAAAGAGATGCTAGAGCCATGCATATGTGTGCGTACGTGTGTACATACCTCTATATACACATGTACGCACGTGTAGATATGGATAAAATAAATGTTATATACACTCATGTGCATAAATACTCTTAAAATGGGAAGTCAAAGGGCTATTGCCTTTGGGAACAGGATGGGCTGAAAGATGAGAGGTGCTTAAAGCCATGTGTGTCTGCTTGCATGAATTTATATGTTTATGTGAGTGTATACACGTGTATCCGTGTGAGTGTGCGTGTAGGTTGATATTGCTCACATGCACGCACTTCAGATGGGCACTCAAGGTCTTTTGGCTTTAGGACTAGCGTGAGGTCAAGGAACGGAGGCTGAATGATAAAAGGTGCTTCAATTTGTGTGTGCGCACACACATATGAGTATAAACAAAAGTGCGTGTGTACTTGGGTACATGTATTTATTATTATTATTATTATTATTATAACATTTCTATGCCGCCCCTTGCCGAAACCTCGGGGCGGCTTACAACACGACATATTTGCTTAAGATGGAGAGTCAAGAACAGGGTGATGGAGAGATGAAAGGGCCACTGTCTTCCTCCAAACCTGGTATGAGTCTAGTTGTTATAGTGGATGTATTTCCTTCCTTTTCACCATCTTAACCAAAACACCTACATACCCATATATAGATCCTATTTCTGTTATAGTGCGTAGGAAAGGGGTCTTGCGGCACCTTAAAGAGTAGCACATCTTCTATAGTGTAAGCTCCTGGAGTGGTGAAGCCATTAGACAAATACATGGATGGTACTGTGCTATCAGAAGCTATTCATCTTGATGCCTAAACTGACACGCCATGTTCAGGAGGTCAGCCTCTGAGAACTGGCACTTTGGGGAGGCCAGCTATGTTGTCCCCCTGCCTGTAATCTTCTCTTGTTAAGTCTATTGCAGCAAATGCTAACTTTCATGCTGTGATAAATTTGTTAGGCTTTAAGGTGCCACATGACTAGTTTGTTATTTTTGGTGCAGATGACTAATAGGGTTACTCCCGCTGGAAGGATTATGGCATGCAGATATGTCATTAATCTATGCTCTCTTATTGCTATGGTTGTCATGTTACAGTTGCATCGGTAGTCTAGGCAGATGCCTGAGTCCGATGGAAGTTCAGTCTCAAATAGTGGAGGGACAGTGGGGAGGGGAGGACATAGGTTAATGCCATTGACTTAGTGACATGCACACAGGTATAAAGGGAAAAAAGAGGGTAGCAAGTAACAAAAACCTCTGTTAATCTTTTGTCCTAACAGATGCGTACCTTTGCAGAGGAACCATAGTTCAGTTCTTTGCATAGAAGGAGACCCATATTCTGCTCCTGTTGTGTCCCAATAAAGCATAGGTAGCTGATGACGGGAAGGGTCTCTGCCTTTCCAGCTGTAGTAAGCAATATTGGGCGAGATGGTGAAGAAGGAGTCTGATCTGTATTCTTTCTGCATTCCTAGCAGTGAGACTAAAAGACAGCGTTGTGCAAGAGGTGCACTGTGACATTTTTATGCACAGCTGAAATGTATATCAGATAAGGGTACATGTCAGTACCTCTTCTGGCCTGTTACAGCAAACACATGAAAAGGACTCCTTGTGGCATATTAATGATTAACAGGCAGCTTTTGCATGTGGGCTGGAGCCTATCCTGACAGATGATTACCCTCAGAACAGATCCTTGATGAGAGAAAGGTAAACAGGAGCCAGAAGGCGGTGGAATGTAAAAACTATGCAGTCTGTGACATTTCTGTGCAAAGATCAAGTGTATTCTAGATTAGTACATTGGCTGTTCACAAGCGCAGTCCCTGGAAATGGTAGAATGCCCATGCTAAGGACCCATTGGAAGGGTAATGCTGAATCACGCCTCGTCACGTGGAAGTGAGTGCCAAATACACACACACACACACACACACACACACACACACATATGGGCATTCCAGGTCTCTTTGGCAGCTTCAAAAGGGGTTGGAGAACCTACGGGGAGTAGGCCTGAAATCAGCTACTGACTCTGAACACTAAAGAGGGAGCTTCCATTTTCAGAGGCAAGAGCAGCCCCCTCAGGAGAAGAAGTTGAGGACCAAACAAATTGCCTCTTCTTGCCCATAGTGCAGATCACAGCTAAAAAAAAAAAACTGCTGGACTAGACTAGACAGATCCTTCATCTAGGCCAGCAGGGCTGTGCTTATAACATTGTGTCCACCTTTTCCCCATGCAAATCCAGCAAAGGGATAGATTTCTTACTGATCCTTGAGGAAGAGAAGACATGATTGTTTTTAAAGATGAAGAAATTTATTCTTCTACTCTTTTGTCAGCTGAATCTTACTTAATCAGACATAACTAACCAATTGAGTTTTGTTAATATTCATGCTACAATCAATCTGTTAGTCTTTATTTGGAGGTAAATCACTGATTTCAAAGTTAATATTTAATTGTGAATAAACAGACTTATAAACAAGGAGTTTTAGATCCTGTACTTGTTACAATAGGCTTATTATGTTTGTGATTTTTAAAAAATTCAACCATACTCTCTTGAAATCTTAAACAACTCCCACCCTTGAAACATGGGGCAGAGAGGAACAATTTGAAATATACCGCAATAAAAACAGCAAGGTAAGACAAAGTTAAAATAACACATTTTGTTAAAAAAAAAAAAAAAGGTTTTACTCCCATCAGTTAAAAATCAGTCCAGGTAATAAATATTGAACTGTGGATGAATCTGCCCAGGAAAGGAGTAAAGCGAATGTGGATTATTCCCCTCAAAAGCCCCATCTACAGCCTCTTGCTGTTTGCTGTATGCATAAGATTGGGGTTATGGATATGATGTATTAGCTGACTTTAAAGATTGGGATAATCAGTAAGAGGAGGCAGCCTATCAGGTTTAAGTCACCTGTAGCATTTTGCCTCTTGAGCTTGGTTAGCGATAACAGTTATAACCCATTCCCCATCACTAATGTGGATTCATCGGGGCAGAAGGTTTGGGAACTGATGCATTCCAGTTTAGGCATGTCTGTTTCACTGTAGTTGAAATGCTAATGGATAAGTAATCCTTGGTTATCTTCAATACACACTCAGTATCCAACCTGTGGTTACAAGCTGATGGGTGTGATGGGAGAACAGGCCACAGTGAAGCACTTAGTCCCAAGCGCCTTGATTCAGTGTGAGAGCTATAAAGGTTGAAAGGCATTGTTCTAGAGCAAGAATACAGGCTCAGTATTGAGATGGTCGTGGCAGCTTTGGTGGCCTTCCTGGGTTTGGAAGCTAGAGGGGAGAAGGTTTTAGAAGTGTGAGCTAAGAGGAGCTCTGTCACAGGTCATGTGCCTCCGCAGAGGTCTGACCAAAACTGAGCAAGGGTATGTGGGTGAAGGAGTGTCGCCAAAAGCCAGCAGTTTGTACACTCATCTTTCAGGTTGGAGTGGATAATTACTCACTTCAGCTCTCCTCTTTACTTTAATCTGCAGCATTCCCCTCCTCCAGCCAAAACAAATCACTGATTGGGAAAACTGGATTACTTGGAGTGAGCTTTGCTTAGATCTCAGTGATCCAAGTTCAGCGTGTTGCTTAGAAAGAAATTCAGGGCCTTGTGAAACATGAGCTGTTGTGCAGAAGCCATTTTGAGGTGGGGTTATTGGCATTCGGCTGCTGTATGATCTAAATGTGTGGCAGAACTGCTTCAGCTGTGCTCTGATCACACTGGTGGAATCAGCGCCACTTTCTCGGTCCCCTAAAGATTTGCTGCTGTATATAAAATCTGCTGCTTTGCCCTATTCTCTCCTCCCTCACCTCTTTCTGGTAGCAGCTACACTTCAAGAAAAATGCTGTTTCCTTACCCAAATGTCATTTATGCATGAATGCTACGACTACAGCAGGTAGGGTGAAACCTTTTCTTGGCCAGGGTACCAGCTGTGCTAGGAGTTGCCTTGAGATTAGACTGGAAATCTATCAGTGTGCATCACACAATTAAAATAATATACCTGTACTGTACAGCTGATTCTAGAGCCACAAGCTCTTTTCACAGTTTATTTAGAATGAAAGCTGTGATTGTTATGATGTAGGATTTAATTGTAAAATGGAGGAGTACCAGCTCTTCTAATTAAAACATTAGAGTGCATATTTCCCCCTGACTTTTCTTAAAAAGATCTGCATAACAGGGTTGGTTTTATTCATGATTTTTTTTACCTTCTCTGATTCCTAATTCTTTGCAATAATTTTAGTATTTGTATTTGTCCTGCCCCCAAGCATTTTTCCTATTATATCTTTGCAAGCAGGCCTTTGAGAGATTTTGATGAGAGATTGCAGTTGACCAAAGACTACCTAATGAGCTTCATGTTTCAGAAGAGATCTATACCACCAGCTTACTCCTCACTTCAGAGAGTAGTTGTGTTAGGCTGTTGCAGTAAAAACAACTGGATCCTCTAACATTATATGCTGTAATAAATGATAAATTTTTTACAGCATATGCTTCACTTCAGCTGGGATTGATCATCCATTTCTGTCTTTACTTTCCTCTGTACCATTTCTTTCATCTAAGTAATACAAAGCATTTTGCAGTGATCAAAAAGTAAAATTTAGAGCATTTGCTTGGAAATATGTATAAAGCATTCTGAAAGCATCACCTGCTACAGAGAAGCCATACTGCAAAATGTTCAGTCTGCTGTACTACATTCTTTCAGTGCTTTAAATGGAAAATCAAAATTAGGCCACATTCTTTAAAAAGTTGCTGGACCATGTATCACAGGAGCAGCTTACGAAAATGGGATATAGAATATGATTTAAAGAATAAGAACCTGGTTAAAAGCGTGGTGGGTGGGAGGGGAGAGCAGGAAGAAAAAAAAATTCATAAAACCTTAACATCTGGTTTGAACTTATTCATCCCAATCCGGTTCTAGTCCTACATAAAAATGGCATTTTTGCATGACCGTTTGCTGCAGAGTGGAGCCACATCAGTGATTCCATGTGGATTGGCAGCATCTTTAGCTAGATATGCACCTGAATCTTCTTCATAGCTTCCTAGTTCCTGATCATGAAAGTGATGCGAGTGACACAAGCTTACATCTACCCAGGAATCTTCTTATCTGGATAAGAGCAGTTGAAGGAGCTTAGCGAAATAGTTACAGATTCCAGGCATAGCTGATAAATGCAAGAAGCTGTTTGTGTGTTTACCTATGGGATGGGCTGACATGAGAAGTGTCAGGATGCCTTGAACATGTTTGCCTTCCCAGCTTGAATTAATCCAGCAGCGACAAAAAGATTCAAATATATATGAACTGGCAAAAAAAGACTGTTGCGCCAGATTTTATTTCTTTATTTATTACACATGCATTTCTCTGTTCAACTGCTAGTAAATTCCTACAGAGGAAATGGTAGTTCTGTATCTCATAAGAATTCTTGTTCAAAGTGCTAAAGGATTTGAAAGCAGTCTTATTTCTGCTCCACTGCAACCCAAAGTCTCACTTACAGTGTTGGGTTGACAGGTAATAAATTTCTCAAGAACTTTAGTATCTGAATATTGGACTGCAGGGATGAACTTGTGTTGGTGCTGACCATGAAATGATAGGAATTAAACCTCATTGTACAAATCTGGTAAAAAGCTATCATGGCACTTGTAATGGTTTGGTAGGAATTACTGCTTCTATACAATAGTGCTCCAGGATGCTTTCAGGCCCTGCAAAACAAAACTTGGGTTTGCTGTCTTGTCCCCAAGTGGATAGCTACAAAGTGCTTTACTCCTCTAAAAGATAGTTTTGCTGGATTATTTCTAATTCAGAGAAACTTCTGTTTTCCTGTACAGTTTATCCTTTTGTTAATGTGGTACAGCTTCTCTAAAGTAAACTGATAAAAGGAAAAAATTGCATATTATGAGTTATTAATTACAGCACAAACATGTGTTTCATTTTCTTAGGTGTGCTAATATTCCAGAATAATGAGGAATGATTCATTGTTTGGACTCCTAACAAAAACAATCAAGGTTATAATTAAACCATGACCACAGTGATAGTGTGTGCCACCCTGTCTGTGTGAAGAAGATGGAATTTGACAGCCTTTGAAACTTAAGAATATGCATGTCTTAAGCATATTTAGGCAGAAGTCAATGCTACAGTTCCCAGCTTCCCTCAACTCCCATGGCCTTTCTCCTGCCTAAGTACGCATCAGATTTAGCAAATTTGTTGGCCTAACTGCCCCTTCCCAGTAATTCAGTGGGGCCATGGAAATAGAATGGAAACGGTCTTCCACTAAGAACCAAGGAAGAAAATACCATCCTCTGATTTGGTTCAGTTTTGTGATGCCAATGTGCAGCCCAGCCTGATCCACTGCATGGCACCATGATAATATTTTGATTACACGATTTGTGATTAGATCATGGAATCAACAGAAACCCTGCTTTTAAAAAATAGTGTCCCAAAGCAGCAACTTAGGCAAGAGTGAAAGCGTGCAAAGAATCACCAGATTCTGGGAATGTTTTAGTGAATACTTAAGGGTTACAGAAACTCATTATGTCCTGGTGCTTTGGGGCCTTTACATGACAAGGGGCAACACTCTCCTTAGTAGACTTCCCACAAATACCGACACTGTCTTTTTTTATGCGTACATATCCTGAACGTGACGAAAACCTTTGTATGAGAAAGGTCAAGAGAAGATTTGTACCATCAGTTTAACCATTATAGGGGGAACATTAATTTCTGGTAGTCCTTTGCGAATGGAAGCTGCAGTTGCTGGCACAGAGAGACTGTGGTGAAGACACTGCGCATTCATGGCCACGTGTGTCTCAATAAACCGGAAACATCAGAAATAAGGGGCATGCTATGGTAGTTTGGGGAATTTAAGAAACCGCTGTGGGCTCCATCACAACTGGTCTAACTGGTGGGTTGCCGTTTGGCATCTCCCTGTCATGTCTTGGATCGAGGCTCAGCAGAAAATTTTGTTTTGTGTCTCTTGGGTGCTGCAAGTCGCTTTCGTAAGGGATTGGCTGGTTCAGCTAATTGCCGGTGGTGCAGTATAGCTAATGCTGCTTTTAAACATGTTCCAGCAATGCCCGGGAGTTGCTTCCTTTTACATAAATCCTCGTTAACATCCACTGGTATATATATTTGTTAAAATTATTCGCCTGCTCCATAGAAATTAAGGAATGGAAAAGGAAATAGGTTTTTTGTGCCTTTTGACAGGTAAAAGACTGATAGTACCAACTGGAAGAATAAATAGTCAACTCCTATAAAGCAATGGATTAAGGACCTTTCAACATGTTTGACATATGAGCTGGCGACATACAGATGCCAACTTTGCTTGCTTGAATATTTGCTCCACTTTTGTTCATGCTTATCTGTGATTACTAGACAGTTTGTTTGTTAGTTTGTTTAAAACTTTTGTATGCCGTCCCTTGTGCCTTGGCATCTCAGGACGGCTCACAATCCATAAATTGTAATACAATAAAATCACATATCTAAATAATATAATTCAGTAAAAATTTACATAAAAGACAAAATCAAAGTGACTGTTCAAAATGATTAAAGTATTAATTTTTAAAATAGTGATTAAATAAAAAGGTTTTGATCTGGCACCGAAAGGAATATAAACTCGGCGCCAGGCGCACCTCTCCGGGGAGTGCATTCCACAATCTGGGCCCCACCGCAGAGGCAGTAGTTTGCATTTCATGTCCATCCATATGCAAGTAATTAAATGTTTAAAAATGTGCTGGGGGAGATGCAGTTACCTGTAAGAGGGGCGCCTTCACAGGTGACATTGAAAGTGCTGCATCGAGCACCCCACCCTAGGAGGTGCAGAGTCGCTGGAGACGCCAAGGTGTGTGGTCACATCACAGGAGCTGTGGCTGCTGCCTATGTGATGAGAGTACGAAGATCGGGTGGTGCTCTGGCTGAAGTCACGCAGGCACTCAGCCGCCAGGATCGCGAGCATCTGCCGTCAGTGTAGTTCTGCTCCTCCGTGTCCGGCCGGTCTCTTGCCGCTCCGTTCCCCACCCACAGTGCCGGTGTTAGCGAGCATATGGCCCCGGGTGCAGCAAGGGCTGTGCTGTGCTGAGGTGCCAGGAAAAGAAAAGGGCACCCGTTGACGATCCCTGCTGTGTTGGCTTCCCTTGATGCTGGCTTGGCACGCAAATGCCAGACCAAACGGCCATCTGCCTGTACTTTTCCCGTCTGGCCAGATTTACCGCAACTGTGAGTCTTGACTGTGGTTTGCTGCCACTTTGCCAGATGCCGCCCTGTGCTTTGGGATTTGAGTAGCGGGAAGCAGCAGCCTGGAGGACGCCTCCTTTGTGAATGCCGTGTACACAATGGTGATGGCTAGTTAAAATCAGAGGATTGGCAGATCCAGAAGAACAGGGCCCCTTGATGGGATGTGGTCGTTTCTGCAAGTCCAGGCAACTTGGAAGAGGGCAGGCTCGGGACAGATAGTGGCATCCCTCTGGCTAATCCGCCCACCCCCCTCCTGCTCGTGTTAGCCTCCCCCAAAAAGTGCTGTTTGCCTTTCCTGGAAAGTGCTTCCAGCAGTGTGGGGAAGAAGAGGCATTGGAAGGAAGGGGGCATTTGCGATGTCTTTTAAGTGCTGCTGCCAAAGAATCCTGGGCCCAGCTTGGTAGAAAGCCAGTCTCTGCCTTCTTTTATGTATGTTGGATTGCTATTTGCACACTAGTTCCTTGGGGTTGGGTGGAGAATCGGTGCTATTTCAGCATTAAAGGTGGTGGGCAAGGCCAGCAGAAGTGCAGTGCTTGGCCAGGGATCAGCTGTTAGTGCTGAGCACTCTCTGCAGCTGCCTGCATTGGTGGGGGCGGGGGGGGGTTCAGTTGCCGAGATTGTCTTGCACTGAGAGGGTAAATGTGTGAATCGGGCTACTCGATGAGGAACACTTGGTAGGTGTGAGCATATACAACTGGTGGGTGTGGTGTGGTGAAAGTGCTGAACGGGGGTCCTGGGAGATCCCCCTTCTCGTCTCCACCCACCCTTGAAGTTCACTAGGTGGGCCAGTCACTCCCTCTCAGGCTAGCCTACATCACGGGTTTGTTGTTGCGAAGGTAAAGTGGAGCTCTGTAAGCTACCTTGGCTTCCTGACCAGAGGGGAAAAGTTGTGATATAAATGCCATGTAGGAACAGCAACAGCAGCAACAATGGATCTTTCACATGGTCACCTTCCGATGGGTGTGTTTGGTAAAGAATATAGCATCTTTTCATCTGCAGTTTGAAAAAATCACGGTTCATTCTGAGCAAAGCCATTTTCAGTCATTGGAAAGCTGTTCTCTTTATGCCATATTCTGAATATCTTTCCCTCCTTCCACACATGCATCCGTGTGTTTTGCAGGTACATGTCTCAAGGCAAGCATGTGGAAGCCAGAGAACTCATGTATTCAGGGGCCCTGTTGTTCTTCAGTCACAATCAGGTACGACCCATTCCAAATTGTGTGGAGATTATGCAGTAAATGGTCCCTGGCACTGACAGGTCGGGTGGGTGCTAACGGCTCCTGGATGGTCACCGGGTGTTGTGATTTTCAGGCAGCCTAATGCTCTGCTGTGTAAGCACTTACCTTGGAAAAGTAGCTGGTAGTCCAGACAAGCTCCAGGATGGCAGAAGGCCACAGCGGACATAATCTCACTGCCTTTATAGTGGCTCCTTGACGTCGGGGAAGAGGCCGACTGGAGCCACAAGTGGTTTGATGCATAGTGCTGAGCCCAGGGCAACCCTGAACTGGCTGCTTGGATTCTCTCTCCCCTCCCCTCCCCACCCCAAAGGCATGCAGGGTTTTAGGGTTCAAAGAGTAGCTGAGACAGTGTACCATGTGACCTGGGCACCCCACGCCCCCATGTTAAAGTGACCTTTACAGCTAGAAGAGAGGGCACTTGGGCGGCTGCATTGACAGAGCAGCACCAGCAGCTCAGGTGAGGCATAACCGCACCCTGACTAATTACTCCATAAAATGTTGCCAGATCTGCTCTGCTTATCGAGACAGCAACCTTCACCACCTCCAGGTTTGACTCAAACCTTTCGGGAGACTGAAGAGAAGTCATCAAGCAGCATGCGAAAGACTTGGCCTCTTTCAGATGTATAGTTTCGCATGTTTCCCTCCGAATGTCTGTGGGCTTGCTGCGCCGTTGTATCTGTTTGGCATTTCTTCTTCTGTGTTTTCTAGCAAAACAGCGCTGCTGATCTGTCCATGCTAGTTCTAGAGTCCCTGGAGAAATCGGACGCAAAAGTTTCAGATGAACTCTTAGGTGAGAGGCCTCCTCAGTCGTCTTCATTGCCGCACCTCTAGCGGGCCGATGTATAACCACTGGCGCCATCTCTTTAGATGCATTTTTATTGTGCTTCCCCATCGGCCTGGTCTTGGAGGACGTGGAAGCTGCCTTTCTAGAACAGACCAATATCCATCTAGCCCAGTATTCCATTTCCAACAGCAGCCAGCCAGGCGCCTCTCAAAGTTCACCAACAGGCCATGAAGAGAACGGTCATCCCGCTCTGTCTGTTTTCTGCCCTGTAATCGGAGGATGGCTCCTTCTGTACGCTTGGCACTTCTGGAGCTCTGTAATGGATGGGTAGGGATTTCTGATAGGTTGGTCTTCCACTGGTACCACATCACTGGAAAAGACCATCTGAATGAGCTGACCATGGTGCTGAACAACTACCACTGTTTGTAGGTGGAGCGTGATCTTTGGCACTGTCCTCTCCCCAACACAGGCACAGCTTGTAATGTCTGCACAATAATTGACCTCTTTGCCGTTTTGATGGACAGCCACGTCTCCAGTCCGCTTGGCGATGCTCTCCCTTCTCATGGGCCGACCTTTTTGTCCTTTGCTTGTCTGATTCGGTAAGCATGTGGTTGATAAAGCTCTCCTTGCAAGCGGCCCTCTGGAAATCCTGTGAAGAGGGGTTTTTCCCCACCTTGACTGCCCACCCCCAGGGGTTGTGTGAACAGGATCAGGGCTGGCAGAGAGAATGTGTTCTGTGCGTCCTGCCGGCGTGTTCCTGGGACCACGCTCCAAACTGCAGGCCTTGATCCTTGGCAGCATTCTCTGCCTGCCTTTGACTCTGGTAGTTTCAGGACAATGCTGTTAAGCCATTGGACAGGAGATTCTTTTTTTCCCTCCATCGCGTGCAGCGAAAGGGTGTGGCTGCTGGCACTTCAGCGGAGAGGTCAATTAAGAGGTTCTGGCCAACCTCTAAATAAAGCAATTTGTGTTTTAAAAGTCTAACTGTCTTGAGAGTTTTTCTGTCAGCTGTGTTAAAGCACAAAGATGCAGTTGATGTAAAGCACACATACACACACACACGTGCTAAGCTCTGTCTGTCATGATTGCATCTAGAGAACCTGGCAAAAGTCTTCAGCTTGATGGATCAAAATTCTCCGGAAAGAGTGGCCTTCGTGTCGAGGGCACTAAAGTGGTCCAGCGGGGGATCTGGAAAACTCGGGCATCCAAAATTGCACCAGCTGCTAGCCATCACATTGTGGAAAGGTAGGATTGGGTCCTTAAGTCCGTTAGGAGCTTGTTCTTCTAAGGTTCCAGACCTTGTGACCTAGACCTCAAAGAGTTCCAGGCTTCAGAGAGACTTTCTCGTGCCGTATGTCAAGCCATTTTGGAAACCGAGAAGTACAGCCTGTGATATCGCATAGGGAGCTGGTTTGCCATTGTAGGAGAAAGCAAAAAAATTCCGCTGGGCACATTCAGCCCCATGGGAATGCTTAAAATAACTACCTGGGGCTTGCTGTTCATTTTCCAAATATCTTGTTTTTATTCTGTTCTGCCTTCGTTCTGGTTTGCTCAGTTTTGTTCCACTAAACCCACGCTGGCCCTGTTGCCAGAGATTATGGCAACCTGGATTAGTGCGTGTGCTCAGTGTCTGACTTATTTTTAAATCCAGGATGAAGACACCAGCGATAAATTAGAAACCTGGCAGCGTGTCTCAGTGGATTTTTTTAGGAATCTGATCCCGCTTGTCCACAAAATGAACCCTACCCACCAGATTTGCGTTAGCGTGCGATACAGTTCAAAGAGTCTAATGCCATTGAAAGGGATTTAATTACAACATATGCCTACCATATATTCTGCACTGCAAGGTTGTTCATATTCTCCATGGCTGCTCATGACCCATCAAGCTCGGTTATGCAAGAACATAAATTTGACAAATCTCAGATTTGCATTGTGAGATTTCCGTGGCAAGCACTGGTTTTGTACATGGAAGAGAGGGCACGCAGGAGGAGCCTGGGGAGGGGTGCCGGGGGGGGGGGGGGTTCTGCATGTTTCTCATGTCTGACTGCCCAAACAGGCTACAAGCTAACAGGACTAGAAACTTTTTTTTTAAGGTTTTTGTGATTCTCACTTCTTTGTTGCATGCTAAAATAATCTTATCAGCTTGTTCAAGTTTTCTGCAGAATTTCTGTACAATAAAATGGTTCCCACCAAGGCCATGAAACCTGAGAGATGACTGCTTTTATGATCATCGTCTGAAGAAGAGGGCACATTGATCTCTTTCTGTCTCTCTCTCTCTCTCTCTCTCTCTCTCACTTCTCTTTTAGAGCAAAACTATTGTGAATCCCGATATCACTTCTTGCACTCCACAGACGGTGAAGGATGTGCGAACATGTTGGTAGAATATTCCTCATCCCGGGGGTATCGTAGTGAAGTGGACATGTTCGTAGCTCAAGCAGTGTTACAGTAGGTTTCTTGCCACTGCCTGTCTTCTGCCTTTTCTTCTCCCGCGTTCCGTTTTGCTGAGCAGCGAGTGAAAGGGGGAGCAGCAACATTTGCAAGCTTCAAGACATGAGGCTAGTCTAGAAGTTGGATAAGGACATTGCAGTTCCCTCAGTTGTCCGGTTAAAATGAGCTAAAGGAGGCATTTTCCAGACTTTTGACTATTCCAGTGCATCGAGTATGGAATTGTTGAGTTATTAAAGCACCTTTCTGCCAATGCACTCAAGGGTTTGCAGTGTAAAATAATTCCTTACAACACAGTAAAGGGAACGGGAAGATGCAGGGAAGGTGAAGGAAAACCAAGTAGATTCAGGTATTATGTCTGCATGAAGTTGCTCTTGGTGGTCTTGCACCAAGAGGTGACTGGGGCTCAGCTGAGCCAGGAATGGACGTGGCTGCTGTCTCATGTCAGCTTCCGGGATAACAGCCACAGGTAGAAATAAGTCCAGATAGTGAGTTGGTGCCTTTGCATCAGCATTTATATGTTCCATTTAAAATGTTGCATGCAACTGTGTTATCGTATCGATCCACGCAACAATCCTGTGAGGTAGGACAGTTTTATTCTCCCGCAGACTCAACTTGGGTGGGAATGACTAGCGAGGCCGCCTGTTCAGAATGTAGGGCAGGTGAGAACTGTGGCCTTCCACACTTTTTCCTGAAACGCTTCACCAGTGTCCGTTGCAGGAACACCCTTCTCTTTTACTAGTCTCATCCTCTCTTTGAAATGGCGATGCCAGTGGTCATTGTGAGGACAAGCCGGGCCTCTCAGGATGGGGCCTTCTTGTCCTGGAACTGATACAGTGGGGCTTTTCCCCATTGCTGCAGCCCGTCATGGGTTAATTGACCCAGTTTGTGGGGACATGTGCTGTGGGTGAGCCATTTCCATTTTCTGTAAACCCGCAATCAGTGTGATCAGATGTCAGCGTGAGACACGCCAGTCTGAAAGCTCTGGATTGTTCAGGGGCTAAACAACCCAACAGCTAACCCAGCAGCAGACCATGGGTTAACCATTGTTTAGCCCCTGAGCCAGGGGTGGCGAACCTGTGGCACACATGCCACAGCAGGCATGCAGAACCCTCTCTGCTGGCACGCGAGCCAAGTCGCCCCAGCGGCCGAGCATCGGATAAGCGTGCACAGAGGGGCCATGCGCATGCTCGGAAAGGAGTAGTGGCGCCAGGTGATGACGTCACGAGCCGCGACTCGTCCGAGCTTCCACATGGCCAGTCAGTGCACTGCCAAGAGTGTGTGTGCGTGTGTGTATATACATATTTGCTTGGACTAGCTGAAAGTTGTTCCTTCTAAACTAAAACCTCAGTTTTCAGGTGTTATTGCCCTGTTCGCACCTGGCGATAAATAAGTGGGGTTTGGGTTGCACCTTGGGCACTCTGTCCCTGAAAGGTTCGCCATCACTGCCCTAAGCCCTGGCAGCCTCCACTTGCACTGCCTGGAGGTTGTTTGCAAGCTGTAGGTTAAATGAGCCACGATTTGCCATTATGCCTTGCAAATTTTTGCTTCATCTTTCTCTAAGAACAGTGGTGTACCTTATATTTTCTTTTTCAGATTTCTCTGCTTGAAGAACAAAACCAGTGCATTAGTGGTTTTTACAACATACACGCAGAAGCATCCTTCCATAGAAAGGGGCCCGCCCTTTGTACAACCCTTGCTCAACTTCATTTGGTTTCTACTGCTGGCAGTTGATGGGTACGACTTTAATTTCCACCACCAAGCAGAAAGCCAGCTTTTTCCCCTTCATCCTGATTTTATATCATGTGTTCCTTCTATTTTAGGGGAAAGCTAACAGTATTTACAGTATTGTGTGAACAGTATCAGCCTTCATTGAAAAGGGATCCCATGTATAATGAAGTAAGTTACTTTTAAACCTTCAGCATTTCATTCCATACAGTTATTTTGTACCAGTTCGCTCCTGAATCTTCAGTCCCATATATGGCTCTTGTAGCTGCTTGTATCACAATAAACCAGTGCATTAAAATGCATGCTAAATTAAAAACAAAAAACCAACACCCTTAAGGCTTCGGCAAGGGGCGGCATAGAAATATAATAATAATAATAATGATGATGATGAGTTTAGGACAGCGGCTTCTGAAACAGAACTCTGAATCAAAGAGTAGAAATTCACTTCTAAGCTTCACCACTCTCTCAAGTGTTCTTGTCAGAAAGCATTAGCATGGGAAAGCGTTCTTAAAGCATAGCCTGGGAACCTTTCACCTCGGCGTCTTATCAGACAAAGGCACAAAGGGCTGTCTGTGTGTGGTACTTTTTAGAATCCAGAAGGAAAAAGAATACATGCATAAAGCAGTTGAAGTATTCCGAGCAATTCATATTTTCATTATCCCTAGGGTAGGCCAGCATTATTGTCCAAATTTTGCACATCAGGTACTGACCCTGAGAGAAGGGTAGAATCCCTTGAGGCCACCTAGCATGTTCATGGCTGAGCTGGAATCTGGACCAAAAAAAGCATAACCGCACCTAGGAAGCCATACCACAGACCAGCCATGGGTAGCCATAGTTTGATGAGATAGTCATTCACCCATTCAAAGCTTTTAATACCATCCACGACCTAGATCTCGGGGCAGTTTAACAGTAAAGCAGAATAAAACAAAATAAAATGCAGCATCCTAAATGATGTCTAGCAATAAAAGCCATATTAAAATGACAATCAAAGCTTAAAATGTTGGGGAAATAAAAAGGTGCCTAAATATGCTATAATTACAGCCACTGGTAGGCCTCCAGAGCTTGCTGTGACATGGGAGTCAAATTATGCAACATTTGCAATTATGCAAAATTATGCAGGCGGCGACATACACAGAACTTTAAACCGCAGTTCGCATGTGCTGTATTAAGGGCTTTTAGCTGTAGGAGGACTGGCCTCTGGTGAGTCGCAGCTTGCTTGGCTCAGCTAGGAAAGCGTGAGGGATGCATTCCAGGGGTGAGGAGCCATCGGATTCCCTGGGCTTGGCCGCCTGGACTCCTGTCTGCCTTGCAACAGCCCCGGGCCCAAGTTCCTGGCAAAATCACCCAGTGTTCACACCAGAACCAAATGCCACGCAGTTGGCATCCCTCTCCCATGTCACATTCAGCAGCCCGGGTGTTTCGGAAGGCCAGACCACGCTTTGGATCCTGATCAGTGGATCATCAACGCCGCAGCTTGCGTGATCTCCGACCTGAGCTCGTGTTGACATTTGCTTTCCCTTTCCCCTTTTTAGTACCTAGACAGAATAGGACAGCTCTTCTTTGGTGTCCCACCCAAACAGACATCGTCCTATGGAGGACTACTAGGTGAGTTTCACTTAAAGGACCACAGGGACTCCCATGAAGTGACAGGACAGCGATGCGCTGCCACCCCTTGCTAATTTGACCTATGTTACTGGACAAAGCTTTAGGGCTTGTGGGGATGGAAACCTTATAGGAGCACGAAGGCACATTATACCAGTGGGGGTCTGTGCCTTACGAAAACGGAGATCACACCTGTCCTGCGCTGCTTAGAACTGTGCTTTCCAGCCAGGGCCAAATGATCTCTTGCCAGGCGCTTGGGGCCTCACGCTTGCCCTCTCCTCAGCGGCCATTGCCTTGAAGGAGCGGATCGATCCCCATCATCCCACAGGCGCTTGCCTGCCTGTCTCAAACGGTCTGTGGGCACTCGCCAAGGCAGGGGCCGTCTCTGACGTTTCCCCGTGTCCTGTGCTTCCACCCTAGGCAATCTTTTAAACAGCCTGATGGTAGCTGGGGAGGAGGAGGATGGAGAAGATGGGCAAGAAGACAGCAGCCCCATCGAGCTGGATTGACCCCTCCCAGAGCTGCTTGGAATCTGGCTGTGTGCTCACTTTCAAACAAAACAAAACAGACACGCTGAGAACGAGTCCTGCGATCGCGTCTCAACATGTCAAAGGGCTCCTCTGTTCTGTTTAAAAGAAGGTTGCTGAGATGTTCATAATGTTTTGGTCTATATTATTTATGTAAACATGCAGTGGGGTACCCAAGAGAACCAATTTGGTGTGATCGTTAGTGGACCTTTGATAACGTTGGCTGGTGACGGACCGAGGCGGAGCTCTCTCTGTGATTCCGTAAGCAGTATTCCCGCTTCTCACAATCACACTAAATAAAGCTGGAACTTGCATTTGTTGCTTTATATTTCTAAAAAAAACAAAAACAAAAAACCCTACATTTTTGTTTCAGCAAACTAACAAATTAAGCTCTTGATTGTCGCAAAGGGGTGTCCCAAAAGGCAGGGCTTTAGTTTCTTGAGAGGAGATCCGTAGACCCAGTGCCAAAAGCATTTCGAGCCAAAGAAGATGCCATACAAATTTGAGAACCCAACCAAGAAATACCAAATTGGTTTCCATGGTAGAAAAGTACACATTTTGGAAACCCAGGAGGATGCTGAATAGTGTGTGCTGTGGACATCGGTGAGGCCTTGCACCACTGCCGGGCATGTAATTTGACACCACTGGATCATGTGAACACCAAAGGCATAGCCAAGTAGAATGTCTCTTATTTCGGTGATGCTGTATGTGTTTGTACTGTGGCTGAAATACTTCTCATTCTCTGGGAGATGGTTTAATTCTGTGACTCTTCAGCTGTCTTGCTACAACCCAGCCAAAGCATCTACATTTTGGCAGAATCAGCATGCAGACATTTGAAACAGGGTGAACCTTAAAAGAAGGGGGTGCTGCGGACCTTTGATATTTATTTTTATGGGATGACTTATTGACTCATTTTAACACTTTATGTAAAGAAAGAACAATGAAATTACAAGTAACTGCAAACCACATGCCTAGACTTCACAGACGCTGTCTCCATTAATACACACACCAGATGTTAGCTGTATGATTAAAAGATGAAAGGGGAAAACACTTTATTTTTTCACATTTAAAATAAAAGGCTTAGATTAATACAGTGATCATGCATGAGGGGAGATAATACATTTTTATTTACTGTAAAAATAATTAAAAGGTTGAATTTGTGTTAATTGTTGAGTATTAAATAAATACTTTATACTGGGCTCTCCAGCACTGTTGCCTTTCGAACACAGTTGTGGATCAAGTATTTTTGAAACCTCTGATGATAACCTTAAACAGTGACTTAGCCGAGTTTTTGGTTTCTGCAGCAACTAGCCAGGCGTGCTGGGAGCTGTCATCCCGTTTTTTCCTGCATAGCATTGTGCCCTTAATACCTTTTATATTGCTTTTCAGTGAATGGTGTGATGGAATCCAAGCAGGAGAACCTGCAAACAAATCTTGCAGCGCTGAGTGCTCCTGTTCCTTCCCTCTTCATTCCTCTGTGCCATTTCCCCCCCCCCCACCACCACTTTCCTCTTCCTCCTCCCCCCACCACACCGGCAGCCAGCGTTCTGTGACTCACAAGCAGCTCCAGTCCTCCCTGGCCATTTTTGGAGGGTTTTAAAAAAATATTATTAGTATGCCTGCTAGGCTCGTGGCTTCCCTGTACAGCTTGCTGCCTCCACTTTTTGTGTGAGCAGTGCCATTCTGACCACAGAAGAATCCGTACTCATCTTTGAGCTTTGTAAACAGTGACTCATTGGTCCTATTTTCCCCCCAAGTTCCACTAAAACTGTTAAAGCAAAGTATTCTATCTCTCTTCTTCCTACATCATTTGGTAGCTTTTATCCGACTTTTCCACCAAGTTTGGCTCTTGTTCATCACAAACTACTTTCCCAGTTCTTGGAAACCAAGACATAGGACAGAGCCCCTGAACATCATCGTGCTGCTTGCAAACACACCCAGATTTTTCAGTCTACAAAGAAAAGTGACCTAGGAATTGAACAACGGTGAACATGGACTGCATTCTTCTCAAGAGAGGAGGACTTAATATCGATACCTGAGGAAGCAGCGTTGCTGCTTTGTCACTTCGAGACGTGTGTATGCTTCAGCTATTTGCTTGCCAAAGCACCCAAGCAATGCAATACCGTGGCGCTGATGCACACCTAGCAGATTAAAGAGGTGCAAAGGCACAAACGGGTTCCTTCTGAAGGGTTCAAGCTGCTTACTCTGCACAATGATGGCTACCCTTAAAATCCCAGAATGGATGCTTGTCTTCTCCCCCATTGCAGACGGAAACTGAAATGTGCAAGAAGCTTACCTGGGCGTTTTTTGGCAAAGTTCAACTGGAACGGGGGGAGGAGAAGTGTCCCATTTCTTCCTCCTCGATGTAATGCTGGTCCAGCATCTTTGGTGCTTCACTCAGGAGTTTCTTTCCTTAGAGTCCCTCTTCTCCGAAGTCCCACTAGTAGTTCTGTGGAGACCTGGCACTGCCCTCCCCTTTCTTGCTTTCTCCTAGAAAACTGACCTTGCTTGAGGGAACCAAATGAAATTCAAGTTGTCTTGATGAGCTCTGTGCAGTCGACGCTCTTAAATCTTTGGGATGCTTCCATTTAGCAAAATCACGCCTTTTCACTCTGGAGCTAAGCAGTTAACCAGACCTTATTCTCCCATGGTTTGTGCTTAAATCTCTCATCACAAAAGCATGTTGGAACCTCTGCCTCACCTGCAAGTATGAGTTATAGAAGGGCGGAAATATTTTGCCCTTCTAGGGTCGTTGCTTTCATAATTCCTGCCTCCTGGGAACCATCTCCACCTGCATCAACTCAGCTGCTCAACTCGTGCAGGTCTGACCTGTGATTTCCACCTGTCCCATAGGGATCCTCAGCACTTTCTGGGGTACATCCACAGTTCGCATAAGCTGCTCATCATGTTGGTGGAAGCTCCCAATTGCACCACTCAGAACTTGAACGGGATCTAAAATGGAAGGTTAGAACAGAGATCATGCGCTCTCCTTGGTGGCAGGGGTTTGGTTTTACTAGAACCTGTGGATCCCGCAACTTGGGCTAGTTGCGGAAGACAAGGTTGGAACAAACTCAGTTTTGCTTTGAGTGGGCATGGTTGACACAACCCAGGTGGCTTATCGGGGCTTGTTTAACCCCCAAAGAGCCGTGCTGTATGCAGGGAGTAATTTGAATATATATCACCTTGAGCAGGGGTTGTCCTATCAGGGAAAGCCAGTCATGGCAGGCCGAGAGTGAAACCCAGTTGTGTGAAGGTTATATGGCTCCCAGCGGCTGTCTTTGCATGACCCAAGTGGGTGTTACATACTCAAAAAGTCGTCTCCGTGTGTCTCAACTTCTGGTGCATTGGGCAACCCTGTAAAACCCACGGTTTTGTGTGAGCCAGTCCAGCGAGATCAAAGCCTGCCCGTTCCTCGACTCCAGAGAAGCACATTGCATTATAGCCGATGTCCTGTTGGTTTCACTGCCTCTTCTCAGCATGACTAAGCTGGACTTCATGCTCACCCTTGGCATTTTAAGAACTATGAACGCAGGGCTTTGGTTGAGTTCCAGCCCTTCCGAACATTCCTGCTTACCCCAAGATTTCTGTGTTCTTAGTGGGAACAGCAGGGCCCCAGGAAACCAGGAACCCTGCTGAAGTAATTCAAAGCACCCAGAGGTTCTCCAGTCAACCTCAATAAATCAGTGTTGATTTAACCAGTGCTCTGTAGCTACGCAAAGGAGGTGGGCAAAGGGCCCCCCTCCTGGAAACAAAGTCACTTGGTTTCTCTCCGTCCTGGACTGCTGCCTCAGAAGCCTTTTTAACTGGTTCTTGCATAACTTGGAAAAGTTGGCAACCTTCTTCCCTGGACCCCTTTCATTGGCGGAGCCGGCTGGTGCTGGAGGTCAGACTAGATGGCCTGGGAGACTCGCTCTGTTTCTGTTTTTCTTCCCTGCCTTTTCCTTTCGTGGCATGACTCTTAGATCGTAAACCTGAAGGCAGCGCTGGCGTCTCACCTTTCAGCCTCTGCGTTGTGCCAGCAGCCATGCATCCAGCTGCTGCTTTAATACCTTCCGGCATGGGTCAAGCAGCTAAATTGCCTCTAAGGCAATGAAAGGAAGGATTCCCAAATCAGTGTGCAGAAAATCAGAAATGTGGCACCTGCACCATGGGACCTGCTGCTGAGAATGGAGAGGCATATACTTGGCATTGAAGGGTTTCTCTGGGGGGCTTTCTTGTCACTTGGAAACACTTGTGCCGAACGATAAGCCTGCAGCCCATTTAACAGTTCTTACAAACATACTTCTTGCTGATGTTTATCAGCATCTATCCGTGCGTCCTTCCTTCCTTCCTTTTATTCCTCCCTTAATGAAAGCAAAACCTACATGTGGGAGAACTGCCTACAGCCACACCAGATCAAAGCGTTGCTTCAAAAACTTGTCACATGGGGACCTTTTTTCTGTTTTACTTTGGATCACTAGGTGGTGCTGGTGCTTAGATTTCCTCCCTCAGAAACAAGAGGGCTAGTTCCCTGAGACCAAGGCCCACCCTCCTTACAGTGTTAGGAAACAGTGCAGAATCTTTGGAAACAGTTCTCCTTTCCCCCCTTTCTTTGGTGAAGCTGATCAAATCGCTTTCAAGGCTGTTTCCAAATGCCAGCAAGAGCACAGAACACTTATCTAGCTAAACAGCACAGAACACTTATCTAGCTAAAGACCTTTTTATTCAATCTATATTTTAAAAATACGTTGCGAAGATTTATTTATATTTTAGATGATGTTCAGCCAGCGTGGAATAGTTAGCTTATTTTATTTTGAAATAATGTTGTAAGCCGTCGAGATGAAAGTAATGGACGGCATACAAATTTGAGAAATAAATAAATAATAAAGATGGGCAAACAGGACTTGAAGCAGCACCCCATGCACTGGGTTCCCTCAGTGCCCAGTAGGAATCCCAGCTCCAGCACAGGTGCAGGCTTCTGCGACCTGCAAACGCATCTCATCCATATTGTGCACTGCGATTGGTTCCTTCCAGAAAAAGGAGCTTTGCAGGAGCTGAGGAAGGCCGTCAAGCGCAGGACCAGTTGGAGGGCATTTATTCACGGGGATCCCATTGGCCAGGTGATCTGGTGGTACAGAGCAATAATGACAGAGAGATGGAAGATTGTGCAGCCGTGCACACACGCCGGAGTGTCCACGGAAATCAGCGATCAAGTCGGTTAATATTTCTGTTGCCGATCTGAAGTCTCCTTCGTAAAGTGTCAGCAGAGTGCTTTATGGTTATTCAGAAAACATAGATTTTTCGTTCTCACGAAAGCCCTCTTTGGATAGGCCTTCTCCCCCATACTGGAAGAGAACTGCTTACCCAAGGAGGAGCATTTTTGGTGGTGTGGGAATCGCATGGGAAACTGCATGTGGCACCCTGAGTCTTGCCTTCACGTGGCGCTGCTCTAGCCCCACTGCCTTCACCCAGTCCCTCCTGGGAATATGGGGTGGGGGGAACGGTCTGCATCTCTGTAGCTGCCAGGATTGGCCTGGCCAGTCTGTCCTGTTTCAGACAGACTGCTTAGTTTCTCTCCCCGCACCCTTTTCTAAGAAATGTGCACCTCTACAAGAGTCACGGCTCTGGGGTTTCTTCCTTCAGATCCTCCTCTGCCTCAGGGCTGTGACTTCTGCAGCTGGACTCTTCTTCACGTGCATTAGCGTCATTACCGATTACCGGGATGGTGAATGGTGGCTTGACTTACATAACCTTGCATCCGTTTAAGCTTCGACTGTAGTGTCACAAACCTGTATTTCTCTGCTCGTTGACGCCACCAAGTGCCCTGTTCCTTCCGGGGAACCACCCCTCTCTCCAGGCAGGAGGAAAGCTGTTGTGTCTGATCAATAGCTGATCAAAGCGGGAGAGTTTTCTCGCTGTTGTGCAGAGGGAAAAGGGGGATTTCATAGCAGGTGGCAGGGTAAATGTCGCCAGAGCTGATCTGCAGAGAACGGCCGGGCGGGAACTGGAAGTGTGCGTGAGAGAGGGCCACTGGTTCCAGTCCACCTCTCCATCCATGAAGTAGGACGCACAGGCTGGCAGCCCTCCCAGGTGTCCATATAAGCATCCTTGGCTGGAGAGGGCTAGAGGAGGAGATTTTCAGCCTCCTTAAGGCAAGCAGCGATTGGGATTAATTTAACCCAAACCTTTATCCCAGGCTTTAAACTCAGGCCCTTTTGTTCGTAGGCCCGAGGATGGAGCCAAGAACGCCCCTGAGGCCAGTGTCTCTCTTGAGGAACTGTTCAAAACTGTCCACATCCCTCTTAAGCCGAAAGTGCCCCTATCCTTCAGCCTCTCCTCGTTCAATTTGCATTCAGGACCTGCCACTGCTGCAGTGCCTTTCCGAACACAACCTGGTTGATCCTCACAACAGACCAGCCACACACAGGGGCCAAATGGGAGTTTGACTGCTTGACTCTGCTACTTTACTGACTAATCCTGGGAAGCTTTGACCGCTGCATCAGAGATGTTTGGTTTCCCTGGCAAAATAACTGTTTCCTGGAGACAAGGAGAAGCGCCTTTGCAAAAACAATGCATGCCAGTGAAAGTTGAGAAATACTTCCTGGTTGCGAGCGACTTATGAAATGAAAGCGCATGTTGTGAAATGTTGCCCGGAGCAAGAGCTGTGCATGTTTACTGCTTGACCAAGTGAAGCACGGCAGGCCCAGCTTGATCAAGGAAAAACAGCCCCTCTCTGCTCTGCTTTGTACTCTTATTGACCCTGAAGCATTAGAAGCAAAGCTTGTTCTTTAGCGTTAGCCTTGGAGGAGGAGGAGAGTATGAACCAGATTGTGTGTGGCTCAAAGTGGGCCCTGCTTGTTCATTTCTCCGTTTTCCACTAGCTTCTAAGAAAAGGAGGGCTCTCTCTCTCTCTCCCTGCACAGTGTCAGCTCTTACACTTAGAAAGGGCAGCCAGAGGGCAGGATTACATTGCTGATGTCCTACTGCAGATGCACTGGTTGCACGAAAGCACACCTCCTAGCTCGACCGAGGCAACTGCATTACCCTGGAGCATTCTTGGCAGGTGCAGGAAAAGCACACGCAGCATCCCAATGCCTGCATTTACATGGTGCTGCTCTGGCCAGTTGCCTTCTCTGTCTCCGGGGGCGAAGCAGGAAGGCCAAGTGGATGAGGGGTTCAGTCCGTAGTTAGGACAATTGGACGGGTCGGATCCTCCTGTTTCAGACAGGCTGCTTAGACTCTGCATCCCACCAACCCTTTTGTAAGGAGTGTGCAAGCCGCATCTCTGCAGGAGTCTTTCAAGGCAGCTGCCCACTGCTGCTCTGCTTCTAGCTGGCTGTCCAACTCCTTTGCAGACAGGGGATTCCTGTCCTTCATGCTCTAAAAGGAAGCCATGGGGGTACAAAACTAGGTCTCCCTTTTCATTTTTTGAAATGTGCTTCTGCTGTTGGGTGTTTGGAAAACTCTGCTTCATATCGTGTTCCCCGCACCCCCAAATCTTTGCCCCTGCGATTGAACCAGGCACTGCTTCTCTTTTGCTGACAGAATAATAATTTATTGGTGCAGTTGACATTTAGTACCACGATTGTATTACCAGCGACGTGACGTGTACAACGGACAAGAAGGGATTTCAGCTTACAAAAAACACTGACTTAAGAAAGAAGTGTGTGAGTGTGTGTGGGGGGGGGGTTTGTTTTTACATTTAAAATAGATGGGCTCCCCCCTCCCTTTTATTAATTGGGCAAATGTTTTGGAAAAAAAAGATCATGGCCATGTGATACACAATACTGTTAACAATCATTAACTGCAGTGCTCTCCTCTTGTAAAAGTCTGTAACAATCATAGCTGAGATTGCGGGGGGGGGGGGGGTCCCCCCGGGAAGGGGAGGGGAAAAACGAAGCACCAACCCCCCCCCCCCAAACCGGTCAGCAGACCAGGCGGATGTCAGCAAAGAAGAACCGCTGCTGATAAATCTACTCAGCTGACTCTTGTCAGTATAAATATAATCAAAAGATAAATATGGCTACAACCAGGAGAGGGTATGTGGCTTATTAAGGTAAGGCAGAAGTATTTATGTATTGCCCGGCCATCATATGCAACTGGGGAGGGGAGCAGGGTGGAGAGACTTGAGCACTTCAGTCCAGTAAAGTTTCTTAGTTACGGGCAGTCCTCTTGCAGCAGCAAAATCCAAGAATTCCGGCACTAGGAATGGCCTCTGGCGTGACAAGGGAAGCCAAGGCCCCTGAGCTGTGTCCCGCCCACCACAGCAAGTGGAATTCTCGCCCAAGCCAGGATGTTGCTTCCTGGCATGTTTCAGGCGTGTCGTACGGCACTTCGTTCTGGGGGAACTGTGTGAACGATAAATGCTGGGGCGAAAGGGAAGAAAGGCTCCCTTCCAGAGCCAGCTTCCCTCCACCAATGGGACCTCCTGGCTACAGCAGCAAACTAAGCATGGCGGCCACCACTCCCATTTTCCCAGCATGCCCCCAATGTAGTGGCTCCAGGGGGCATTCTGGGAAAAGTCAGGGGCAACCGTGCTGCTCATGTTGATTCCGTCAAACCGGTCGGTGGCCATTTGTCCTCCAGCCTCCAAGCCACAAACTAACCAAGGCATCCTAAGGCGCAGGCCTCGTCCATCCGTGCCCCTGCCTGGGTGCCACTCCTTTCAACGGGATTTCCTGCCAGACGGCTCTCATTTGCCCTGAACGGGTTGGTGGGCTTCCAAACGCAACAGTCGCTGGTGCCAAAACAAATGACGTACTGAGGACCGTGACGAAATGACCAGAGCCAGTGCAAGGTATTCAGTGCAGGTAGAGAGTAATGGATGCTTCAAGAGAGCAAGTATCTAAGAGACTGGGTGAATCAAGCAATTCCGAGACCCTTTATAGAATGATGGTGGGTTTTTTTTTAATGTTGGCAATGGGACACTGCCCTTTACCACACCTAAGCCTGTTTAGGAAGTGCCAACGCGCTCACGGCTCTGCCAGCTCCTGCTTCCCCCTGCCGGTCTCCTACCTTTGCCTAACAGGAGGGCAGGCCCTGGGACAGACAGCAAGTCTGGGCACTCCACAGTAGTTGTGAACTCCCCCCAGATCTGACGGCAATGCTGCATCTCGGCACGAAGCGAGAGCCTGCTTTGGCTGTGCCGTCCCATAACTATCGAGCACCCTTGGTGTGGCACTGAGAATACGGGTGGAACAGGAACAAGTGAATTATTCATAAAGATTTCACATCTGCGGCCCCCTGACTATTGTAAGGATTGCGTGCAGCCAGAATCGGATCAGAAACCTAAGGAGGCTTGATGGCCAGGGCTGATGGGAGCTGGGATCCACCCAAAGCAAGGTTTTAGGACTTCTGGCAGGCCTTTGTGCTGCCTTTTGGCTTGGATCCCGCTCAAATGCTCAGAGCACTGGAAGACCACGGATTCCCACTCACCTGGCATGTGCTGGATGATGCCCTGCCTTTAATCGGCCTCTGTGTGTCTCTGGGTTTTATTCCACCTCCTCAAGTGGGCTACAAACACGGGGACTTCTGTAGGCTTTTGCGTGGGCCAAAGATGCAGCCTTCTCAAACAGGCCGAGGGCGAGTGTGTGTGAGAGAGAATCTGGATGGGAGTAACTCGTTTCTTCTGCAGCGGATCGCATAGCTAGCGTTCACCCAGATTTATTTGCTCTCTTACTAAAGAAAAATAAATCAAATCCGTCACTGGCAACGTCTTTATACACATCATGGAATCATATACAATCCGAGCTCGCTGGGCCCCGTTCCATGTGGGCCTCCCACCAAGCTGGGAGCAGCGGCCTTTACGTGGCAACCGTGTGCTTGTCAAAAGGACGGCAGATGCCCGGGGGGCCAAGAGGCCCCTGGCGGAAACTTTCAAATGCTGGCATTGCCCTCGCTGTGGCTCTTGCTGGGAAACGGACGCGCAGTCACCATCCCCGGCATAATGAGGCAATGAGCCTGCAGCTTGGCCCGCTTGCGAGAGCCACCTGGGCAAGGGCGTCCCTGTTTCTTACCCCGCCCTTTCTGTGTAAAGGCGCTCATGGAGATCCTTGCTCCGAACTCACCCCCAAATCTGCATCTCACTGTTCGGAAATGGGCAGCACCCCACCTGGAGACCGCCTGCCCCTACACCTCGCCTCCGGAGGGGTTGGCCTATGAATCTGCAGAGAACTACAGAAGCTGGAGCCTGGCACATCTGGGGAGCACGCGGTTGGGGAAGGGTAGCTGAGTGACTTTGCTCCGCAGACAGATCAGGGTGAGAGATGGAAAACTTTTGCTAACACAGAATTGGTTTAAGCCTGGCCACATGCGCTTTGGTTCAAGAGGACAGGGAGGCAGGTCCGTCCGTTTCTTAAAGACAGACTTGAAATTATTCCCCTTTCCGTGTCCGATTGAATGACTCATTTCCCCACTGTTTTCTCAGAATGATGTGATAGGGTCAGCTCCCATCTAACTTTCTAGCAGTCGAAGAGGAACCTTGGAAAGAACCTTCTGCCTGCAGATGTTCTCAGAGAAGCTATCTTTGCATCCATTTCCCCTTCACTTCTGTGGAGCGATTACTTCTGTGCTAATCTAGTCAACTGGCAATTGCAATGTACAGGGAAGTGACTCAGCCGGAGTGAAGCAGATTTACATTTTACCAAGTCCAATGCAAAAGCTGGAAGCATCAATCCCATGCATGCTTTGCTTAATTTTTTCCCCTAAAGACTTCCTCAAGGGACGTTCTAAACAGTGTACAACCCATTCAGCCAGGTCAGTCCAGCCTGGCCTTTCTTGTAAAAATAAAACAAAACGCAGCCATATTGTTTGGCCAATCAGTTTCTCAACGTCTCCAAGTCTGAGAGTCACAAGAAGGCAGCAGAACTGGGTTTTGCAAAGCCTCTCGTGGGCCATCTTAGGCAGCTGATGGGCTGCATTCAAGCTGGGGAGGCTAACACAGCCCAGCAGGAGCTAAGGGACAGAAGGTGTAAAAGGGCTCATGAAACTCTGCCCCCCCCCCACCCCTGCGCTTTTTACATGACGGCCAACCCTTGCCTTGTGAGGAGTCATTTGTACTGATGGAAGCCCTGAATGCTAGTGGAAGCCATTTCTTTTAATTTAACACAAACAAACCAACCCTCACCACAGTTCAGAGCAAGGGCAGGGATGACAGCCCTCACTCTGATTTGGCTTCATGACACCTGATCTGAAATCATCATGCAATAGGGCTTTTCTGCATGAGGCATTTATCATGCACTCGTCATTCCCTACTCCTGGTTCTTTAGATGTGACCTTACGACCCTCCAGTTTTACTTCCGTGTCCAGCCAGCATTCTTGCCGAGGATGCTTTTCAGAAAATGCAGCGTGTACGGATGAAAGTGCGACTTCCTCTTGTGCATTTGTGCTGGTCCACTAGACCATGGTGCCACCTAGAGGCTACACAGCAGAAAAGGAGGAAACTCCAGGTGTGGCAGTCAGGCCTCAGCTCCGGGATGAAACCAAAAGCAGATGCGGCAGATGAACAGCCTTGTAAAGCTCACGATCAGGGCAAAGGCACACTGTGTACCGGCAAGTGCCGTCTCCACCACTGGTAGGGCTCGCCCCATATTTCACCCCTCTTTGTGTCCAATGCTCTTTGCAACTGGTACACCAGAACTGAGATGGTTTTGAAGTCAGCACTAAGACATTCCAACCTGCCTTAGCCCAGAAAGACACCAGACTGCACAGCCATACATGGCTTAGAAGATACTGGCTTGGACCGGTGCCTGAAGCCCGAATTCATGACGAAGCTCATCTTCTTATTCACGCACCTAAACTCCTGAAGCATCACAGAGCAATATGGGACAAATAACCCCCTCCAAAACAGCAAAAAATAGCATCAGTGGCTAATAAAACACCTGTGTTCAGTGATAGTTTTGTCTTCCGCTCGGACAAAATTTCAGCATCATGCAAAACACAATTTTGGCAACAGACCATTTCTTTCCGGTCACATAAGCACAGACTGTGGAATCCAATCTTAAATAATTAGCATTGTTTTTCACTGGTGGGGTTTTTGAGGGGGTTCAGTATAAGGGCTGCCATCCACTGGAATTTCAATCTTGGTTGAAGTTAAGAACTGAAGAAGTTAATGGAAAGTGCTCTGGACGAGGGTGTGTTGTCTTTACAAGTTGGGCAAGAGCCAAGTCTACAGAGAGGAGGGAGAGAAGAGCATCGCGTGAAGAATCATCCCTATATTCTGCTCCATGTGCCAGGCCTCCAGGAGAATCCCTTACCTCTTCCAGTGGGCATGCCAGGTCCATGCACCAGCTCCCTGTTTCAAAGGGAAGTGCCTCAGCCAGCTCAGGAAGTAAGAACCGCATCACCTCTGGTTTAGAAAGCACTTTTTAAAAGAAAAAAGTGATCCCCTTTGGCTCAGGAAACCATCAGCCCCGGCGTAGCTGCAGTAATTAGCACCTCCCATCTCGTCCAGTGTGATTCGCTTAATATTTTCGTCATCGTTAGCATTGCGAAGTCCAAACAACGTCACTGTGTGTTGTAAACAGTTTCACTTCTTGGTTCTGTCCATCGTGAGGCCGCTACGGTTTATGCTTGAAATGGGCTTCCACTTGGGGTGGCCAGGCGGAGCAGCGGGGACAAAACCAAAGATAGAAAACAAAATCTATTGTTGCATCCTTTTGTTGATTAATATAGGGCAGAGTCTTCCATTAAAAACCTTTGGATTGCTTCGAAAGGCATCCTGCTTAATGAAATGCATTAAAGTGTTTTCTAAACACGAAATAAGAATTGCAGGCATCCAATCGTATCTTATCTTGGAAGAGGAATGTTCCCTTCACAGGAGCAAACCTCGTCTAAGACAGCACGAGGGCTTAAAAACCAAGTATGATTTCCCTGTTCCTGAACACACGCCCCTTTCTGTAGGGTCCTTTTATGCAAATTTATGCTCCCCCTGGCAAGTTGCCCTACCTGCAGGTTGAAATCCTATCAACCCGTGAACTCTAGTACTATCATTTATTTCTGTTCTATAGAAATGTAGCCACTTTTATATTCTATAAAATGTATATGTTTTTCTATAGAAATGTAGCCAAAGCTTTCTGGGCAGTTTATAACTCTACCATGCAACTTACCTTTTCCTGCTATTCTCAAGTGGCCATAAATATATGTGTGTGTTTATTTGGTTTGCCTTTGTTGAGGCTTCCATATAGTTGATATATTTAAATGTATGCAGAGATATGAATAGATCCTTTTTTGTCAGATTTTGTTTCGGTGACACGTACAGTACAAAAATTATAAACACCCCTTTGTTCTCCCTAGGGGTTTGTTAAGTACACAGTGTCCATACTTCAGTTCTCCTGCTTTCCGCCCACTCTCTGGAGAAATATTTGGAAGAGGACTGCAGCGCATTAGTAGAGTCACACAGAAAGTTCAGGTTCAGCCTTTGGCACCCCCCGTAAAACAATAATCAAGTAATGGGGAAATCCCATCTCTGCCCAAGAGCTGCTGCCAGTCAGAAAAGGCAGCACTGAGCTTGATGCACTAGAAGTCTGACCTTCATATAACGCCGTCTCGCCCTCTCTCCTGTCCTTGCCACGCCAATCTCCAAATCATGTGTTTAGCAGCAAGTGCTAGAAAAGGATTCTACGAAGCAAGAGGCTTCACCGTGCGACATTGCCCACAAAAACCGCTCTCAGGAATTGTCGTTGACATGTGGGTTGTCATGTCCGCATCCAGCAGAGAGAATAAACTGTACCGAACAACTCACAGTGTACAAGCAACGACAAACCATGGGCCCTCTTCATGGGTTGTTGGTCAACAAGCCATGACTTGTTTGCTTCACTGAGTTCAGAAAGCACAATCAACTGCAGTTCAACAGCCCATGCTCAACCCTTGAGCGCGGGTGAACCCAATCCACCTGCAGCCTTACCTGCATATTCCTGCGGCAGCATCGGCCGGCTTATCACTTTCTGAAACGCCGAGATCCACTCCTGCTGGTCGCTTTCTGTCTCGCAGGCGAAAAGGAATTTTCGGTCTGGGGTCACGATGGTTATCCCGTACTGCCAGTGATGGCCCTGGGTAGCAGGTGGGAGTCCTTCCAAGACCTTGTAGCTGTTCTCTTTGCTCCCAATGAAAACTTCCCCTCTGGCAAATGCATCCTGTGCAGACAGCAAATGGAAGGGACCGGCCCTTGCAACCCTTTGCAAGGCCCCACAGTAGCTACTCCCAGGACTCTAAGACCCACACAGAGGAGGATTGTTCTTACGCAGGGGGCACGGATTTTGACAAAGGAAGGTGCTAACACGGAGCCGTGGTAGGAAGGCTCTTTTCATTAGCCTCTTGGCAACATTGGGGACACTCTTGGAAGCTGCCTTGCCGTGGGAGGTGCAATGAATGCAGCGTCTTATAGCTTGAAGCCATTGCTGCCAGTAATGGCCGTGGGGGAGGCATTTCGGCTTTTCAGAATGGGGAAAAGGTGCAAAAGCTGGAAAGCCATCCAGGATCGGGGAAAGAGGGACATGGCCATGTGAGGAACTCCTGCTGGCCGCTCCTGCAGTTCTCCAGCCCTTACTAACAGGCTGGTGGGTGGCTGTTCCCTCTTTGGAAGCCTTCCAGCAGAAGTCGGGGATGTTCTCGGTCTGGATTTCCTGCAGCAAGCAGAGGGCTGGACTAGCTGCCCCCTCCAACTCCTGCATACTGTGAGTCACCATGCCAAATATCTCCCCATGAGAACCTTGCCTTCAGCTGCAGAGCTACAAATGGCAAACCCAGTTTAGCTCCCTTTGGGATCAGGGCCTTTCTTGTGAGACTTGGCCTGTGGGCAAATAGGCTTGGATTAAAAGCGAAAGGGGACTTGAGGTGCAAAGCTATGCATGTTGAGATGGGGGGAAAGTGCACAGCTTTCAGCGAGTCGCATGAGGGGCTAAGTTGAACATGTGCTCTGTTAAACAGCTGGCCCGCTTCAACACTGGAGGTGCATGTGCAGAATATCCTCCTCGGAGCCACAGAGGACTTGGGGGAAAGAATTCTTGATCCGGAATATACTCAAGCATTATAAGCACTCTGTGGCATCACTAGTTCTGCCAGTGTGGGCTGAGCGAGGGAGAGGGGGAGACCGCCCTGAAATGGAGCATTCGTCCGTTTTCCAAAATCCCCAAAGCCTGATGCCGTTATCTGTTTTGAACTTCAGCCTAGTTTTGGTGTTTGACAAATTGCTGTTGTCTGCAATTTAAGCACACACATTTCTCCCACTCTGCAGCCAAGGCATCTTGTGCGATGGCGGGCAAAACGACAGCAGATGTGCTGAAAGAAAGCCGTCTGCTCTCAGCCAGAAAGATTCAAGCCAGCAAGACTTGGAGGGCACCACTGACCGCAGGCGCCAACGCAAAACTGCCTCTCGTGAGACTCTCGAGCCGAAAGCAAAGGGTTGCATCCAGTTTTAAGCTGGATCCAACAGTCCTTCCCAAAGCAGCCCGTCGGACATGCTGAAGTTGCTTCACAGAGAGGCAGGAGTTTAGGTGTGGTGTGGAGGCCGGAGGGGGCGGCGAGCTGCAAGAGTTGGGCCAAAGGAGAGGAGCGAGAGAAGCCCCTTTGTCTCAGAAGGAGTTTTCCTTGCAGAACGCGCAGCCTGGATCCATCCCAAAAAATGACCATTGAAAAACAGCCATCCCAAAGTGCAAGAAAGAACAAGCTACTCCGAAAGCAAGCATTTTGCAGCTTCCTGGTTCCCAACATCCTCGACAGAAGCAAATTCACAGAAAAATACAGCCCAAAATGGAAACACTGCAACTGACCGTCGTTTATTCTACTGCCCATCTGTTCTCACACTTAGACTTGCTTTCTCCACCATCTCCATCGATCTGGTTATCTAAAACCCAAGCCTAACAGTACTTTCATCTCTGCTCTGGCCCATGTAAGAGCTGGATTCCCTCTACGCCATTTCACGACAAAGATGTGGAGCCACTTTCAGCCCAAGGGCCACATTCCATTCTGGAGAAACCCTCGGGGGCCCCATTCCAGTGGGGGGGGGGGCAGGGGGAGAGAAAGGAGAAAGGAAAGAGGGCAGGTGCAAAAGGGCTGGAGCAAAATTCGCCAGCATAATGTAGGTTTAAGCTCCTACGGATGGTAAATTATGCCCTGGGAGAGAGATTTCAACCTGGGAGCCGCTAAATGGATAGCACCTGTGTGTGACCCCCCAGGAAAGAAGGGAACCCAGATGGTTGGATCTGAGGTTCAACACCCAACTTACTCTCTGGGCAGGTCACAAGTGGGTCTTACCAGAGGATCTTTAAAATACATTAGCCTTCTGTCATCCATTGTGAACCAACGCTTCTTGAAGCCTTCTGTTTGCTAAGGAATGAGAAAGAAGCATTAACCCGTGGAGAGTTTTTATTCTAGACAAGTCCCCATCCATAGGTGCTCAGCCGGCCACATTCCCAGCACCATGGCCGCTCATTTCATGTTCATGCACACTGCAAACATGCAGGCCTCCTTTGAGAGGAAGGAGCCCCGGTCGACTAGCCCCGGGACACAAGGCGTCGGACACGTGGCCTGTGGCAAAGCAGCAGGGACGTGGCTAGCAAGCACGGTTCCACTCGCCATTCCCAGGAAGAAGGTGGGATGCACATGTAACTTTTGTGGCTCATGCTTCCAACATGGAGCATTATACTAGATAAGGTTTCAGTTCCCAATTTTTATCAGTCATTCACATCCCCGAAGACACAGACACATGCCCTTAGTGTACTGAACCGTGTGGCGGTGGTGTTAGACCATCGGGTCTGGGTTCAAGTCTCAGCCACGACATTCACGGGGTGACTGAGCTTTCTCAGTCTAACCCGCCTCGCAGGGCTTGGTGAGCGAACGATTGGGCAGGGCAAGAACTATGTCAGGCAGCCTCAGCTTTCTTCCAGTGAGAGCGGAATGGAAAAGAAGAATGCAAGATAGCGATGGAGCGGGAGAAAGCAACAAAACTGGCAGGACAGCTTGTGTGCCACAGGGTTGCAGAAATGCACAAACACAGAGGACTCCATGCCAGCTGCAGAATTCAGCTCCCTGAATTTAAGGCAGCACCAAGTTTCTAGCCCTTAAGAAGATGTGCTCGAGGATGTGTGAGGGGATCTCTTCAGTCCTTTCCATTGCTCCCCTGCCCCACATGAGGAGCAGCATCTTTCCTTGAGCTCTGTGTTTAAATATCTACGCAAATAATCGGCTAAAATAAGTATTTCCAGTAACTAAACTAACTAACAGACAGTCCCATCCTTGGCATGTTTACTTGGGAATCGGTCCACAGAGTTCAGAGGGGCTTTGTTCCTAGAAAGTGATGTCAGGGACAATACATTACCTTGAGGTATTGGCAGAAGCATATTAAAATGCAGCTCCCAGATTAAAGTGTGATGGCTTTATTAAATTATTTGCAACAATGCTTCCAAGGCTCAACCCCCCTCCCTCCCCAGGTCAGTTGGCATTAAATTCTGGTCCAAATCCTAGACTTGATTAATTCGCAGCTAATGAATTGGTTAAACACAGAGATGAAAATGCTCTTGGCTCACAGCAACAAGAGAATAATTAGTTTTTCAGCAACCCTTCCTAATTAAGATAGATATGGGGAAGTGAAAGGCGTGAGAAAGACTTGCGCATCTGCCTTCAGGGGTGGATCCAGGAGCTGGCACCCAGAGGCATGTAGGTTTGGGGGCACAGGGTCGGGACACAAGAAGGCAGCCTGTTCTGGATCGGACCAAATGCCTGTGCAGGAAGCGCCCCAAGCCTAAGGCAAGATGCATGAGCACCTCCTTCGCACGCAGAAGCTGCCATCTTCAACCCTCAGCACCTCCAGGTAGGGTTGGAATCATGGCTGCCTGAAACTGGAGAGCCACTGCTGCCAGTCAGAGTTGTCGACACTGGGCCAGATGAACGAAGGGCCTGGCCTCACCCCCCGTGGCAGCCTTTCCCTGCCCATTGCCCAGGAGTTCCACGCAGAAGTCCACAGAACCCCAAGCAAGCGAGGAATGACTGGCGGAAGGGGGGCAGCCGTGGCCGTCCTGCCTCTGCCAGCCAGCGTGGGCTCCATGCAGCACCGGCTCCATGTCCTGGCAAGCCATCCTTGTCGCCCCCTTCCCCGGGGCCTGCCTTCTCTGTGCCACGGCCACCCGCAGCAGCTCTGGCTCCGTGGCAAGTGGGAGGCCTGCAAGCAGCTGGTCACCGGCCCCTTTCTCTGGCCCAGAGCTGCCAGTTTACCACGGTGAAGGGAAGGATAACGTCCAGGGGCTCTTCTTGTCAGCCCTGACTCTGCTCTAGTTCCTGGTTAACAAGAAGACTGTATTTCCCTGCTAGCCTGCTACAAAACTAGCATTCTGCATTTTCTCACTGGCTGCGGAGGCTGGATGGGAGGGCTACCTTTCATGGCCGACGTGGAAACAGAGGCAACTAAGAAGAATTTTGCTTAACTGCAGACCGTGTTTGTGGTCTTCTCTTCAAGCTGAAGATAAAATTGCACACATGTGCATAATGACCAGCAGCTTGCAGACTGCAGCTTTTCCCAGTGTGGAATTTAAGGTATAGATTTTTTGAATATCAAGAGGGAGGACACAAGTGAGGAGAGTTTCGAAGTTTAAATCATCACGACCATTTCCACAGCCCTAGGGAGAGCAGAAGCTGTGTCGTCCCATCTCCCCCTCTGCATCACGTATGTCTGATGGGGATGGCAGATGAACTTAGCGTCTCTGCTAATGAAAGAGTCCCAGGATTGCATCCCTGTGAACTCTCGCTCACTACCCCACAAGACACAGCCTGATTCAAGAAGTGGCTGTTTTTAGCTTTCCCTGTCTGAGTCTGTTTTAGTCAGTCGGTCCCAAACAGCTGGTGCTTTGCCCTGCTGTTTGGAGGTTTCAGATGTCTAGTATGTGTTAAAAGATGACAGCCATTTGGGGGTTACGTGTCATGACCCCCCATTTCAAGGAAAAGACCTCCCCATGTACTGTTTTTAAGAGGTTTTAAAAAGTACGTTCCTAGAGTGCAAGGAGTCCTAACTACAAGCATTCTACAATCATGATGAAATACCTTAAACGTTTTATCTTTGGACGTTGGGACTAGGGATGTGCAGATGTTGGGACACCTGCTCTGTCTACGCTTTGAGGATCGTCTGGCACCTTTAACTCTATCTTCTGCTCAGTGACAGACTCCGATTTTGTGCACACGCATTAATAAGCATTCCCGCAAATCCACAGTTCTGCAGATTTGTGCTGCTGAAAATACGCTGATCCACACAAATTTGCGTTTTCGTGGTTTAGCCTATGGGACAAACGTGCAATTTTGGTTGGTGATTTGTTTCAATTCTACAAGGAAATTTGTGAGGGGAAAGCCCTGCAGACGTTAATAAAGCCAATCCACAGGATCCATATGACTCGGGAAAGCCAGTCGGCTGCAGAATCAATATTCAAACTCATTTGCATCAGTGCTAGATTGCTCTGCCATCCCTCGGGGTCCCTCATTTAAGACTGGCTACAAGCCAAGGCCTTCCAGCCATAACGTGCAGGCATGTTGGGGATTTTTAATTGGTCTCTTTCCAGTTTACAACATAGCCTGTAGCAGACAGCCCAAGATGCAGGAAATGCACACAGGGGATCCCAGCAAAGGACACGGAGAAACGATCCCAGCCACAGTAACTCGAACACGTGACGGGAGACACAGACTAGGAAGGATGGCTATAACAATTTCTTTCCACCCCAAGGTTTCTAAACGGCACAATAAAGAATATACTTGCTTTTGGCATAAACAGAAAACAGCGTGTCCCACCTTTGGCCCCGTTTTTTCCATGTAACCTTCCTTCAGGTAGTTCCTAGAAAGCTTTGGCACCAGCTGGAATTGGGAAGAGGAGGGCAGGAGAGAAAGAGAGAGCAGAACAGCACACGAAGTTAACACGGCTATGAGGCGATCAGAAGATAAATGCCTGTTGGAAAAGCTAAACGTCAACTCATCCATAACTTAGGGTGTAATCCTGTGCACGTTTACACTGAAAAGCTTGTAGGACTTTTTCTGGCTACTCTTACATGGGCTTGCACACTTTCTAGCTTTGGTTGATGATCTGAGCACAGAAATCCTGAGAGATTTATCAGCTCTAAATCCGGCATTTGACCATTAGGAATCTGGGCTCAGGAATGTGGCAGACTTGGCATTGATGTTCGGTTGGGAGAGGGTGCATCTGAGCAGTAAAATTAGGCAGCGTCGCTTCATAACTGAAAGTGCTTCGTAAAATGTTAAACCGTGACTACATTTAGCCCACTTCCACCTGTTCCACGAACGTTGGACATCAGGCTGGTGGACCAAATGTGGCTCTCCAAAGATGCCACCAAATTGCCCAACCACCACCCTACGTCGCTTTCTGATTTTCCTGGCTTTCCCCTCATTCTAAAAATGCATGTATGTATGTATTTTTATTAGATTCATATCCCACTTTTCCCAGCTGATTCCAGGCAGCTTACATCATTCTCCTCCTGCTGTTCTCCATCTTGTCCCCACAACAACAACCCTGTGAGGAAGGCTGGCTGAGAGTCTGCAACTGGCCCTAAGTCACCCCGTTGGCTCCATGGCTGAGCGGGGACTCGAACCCAGGTCGCCTGAGTCCCAGTCCCATGCTCTCACCACTACACCTCCCTCTCCCTCTCTGCACAAGCAGGATACAAATGTGATTATAATAATGCTTGACTGTTACCAACAAACCCAGTTTTGTCTTGGCCGGGAAGGCCAGCTCAAAGTTGCAGATTCTTGCTAATGTGACATGAGTGACAGGGGAAAACCAGTCATAAACAGTTTGGAGTCAATTCCAGTGGCATCAGCTCCTAAATGCTCAGACTCTTACCAGCGTCTGCAGACCCAGAAACTGAGTGCTGCCAGGGGGACCAAAATACCCTTGCACGGGTTTAAATAAAGCACATTCTTGGCCAATACCATCTGGAGAAAGCAAGATACTGCGATGCTAAGGAAGGACCTGGTGCACTTGGAACCTTGAGAAGTTTGAAGAAGCTGCTTACGTTTTGGAGGAGGTTGTTATACAGAGAAATGTTATATGGGAAGAGTTTTTAAGTATCGCGGATGCCTCTGTGGGGCACCCTCACCCTAGATCCAGCACACCACTGACTGCAGGCCTTCAGGACTGGGAACCTTTCCCAGGTATTAACAACAACACACTAAAAACAACTCAAGAGAAAGAAAGATTGCCGGCTTGGCCTAATGGTGAGACGGTTAGACTGGGACTCAGGAGTGCCAGGTTCTGCTCCCCATTTTGCCACGAAGGTCACTGGGTGGCTCTGGAACAGACACTGACTCGTGGCCTATCCTACCTCACAGGGTTGTTGTGATAATAAAAGACAGCTAGTAGAGGGGGCTTGTGCAAGCCACCTGGGGTTCTTTGAAGGAAAAAGGTGGGCCATAAATATCACGAATACATCACTGGAATTTTAAAAAAGGGCAAGAATAAAATGGAAGCTCACATCAATGTCACTCGCTCCTGGGAATGCCACTTGTAAGTAATGAAACCGGGCGGCACGGAAAGCGTTGAACCAATCCACCATTTCCTGTGGGGAGAGAGAGTGACCGTCAGAAAGATGGATAGCCCAGGACTGACTGGCACCGACAGGCTGGCCTCAAACGCCCCAGCAGGCAACTTCCGGGCTCAGGGAGCTACACTCCCCACCCCCAGAAACCCACAAGGGACTACATTTCCCTGCACCAAAATTGCTCACAGCCCAGAAAATGCTGTCACATTGGCTATAACAGCAGCGGGAGAAAGAGCCGGTTTTGTTGGCAAAGAGCTTGCATGCTTGCTTGCTTGCTTGCTTGCTTGCTTGCTTGCTTGCTTGCTTGCTTGCTTGCTTGCTTGCTGTCAGAAAAACACTCCTGGAAGGCCTCTGGAGCAGCGCACCTCACAGAAAAGCAGGGCTAAGGTGCTTCCAAACTAGACTTTTCTCCCAGGATTTTACATGGTTTCCAAGCAGTGGCACCTTCCCGCAGGAACGCCCGCCCCCCCCGCACCAACAACCACACTTCCTTTTGCATATCACTAAGAAGTCCATTGCAGGCTTAGTGGCATTCGGTCTAAGAGGGAAACGCGGCACAACCGCTTTTGCGCTGCGGCACAAGATTATTTGCATTGTGGGGCTTTCCAAACAAATTGACCAGCTTTAGTCAAACCTGCAGGCTTTCAGAGATTCCACAATTCTATATAAAAGCATATCAACAGAATGAGAAAAACGAGGTGTCCTGGCATGATTTTGATGGTTGGCATGTGTTCAGAATGGGCAGAAATGATGAGCTGTGCAGAAAAAGCTACTCCAGGGAGGCTTTTTGAAAATCGCCCCCTTTTCAGTGGAATTTTAGCCCTGTATTAGG